GTCTCAATTATTTCTCTGACTTTGACAACACAACATACATATATCGTTTCTCACTATCGATTTTTTTTGTATTTCTTTATGGTTCTTTATTATTATTATTATTATTATTATTATTATTTTTATTTTTATTATTGTTATCCTTATCATTTTATTATTTTAATTTTATTATTTATTTTTTATTATAAATTTTATTTATTATGAATTATTATTATTTTATTTTTAATTTTGAAATTTTATCAAATTTTATTTACTATGAATAATTATTATTATTATTATTATTATTATTATTATTATTATTATTAATATTATTATTATTATTATTATAATTATAATTATAATTATTATTATTATTATTATTATTATTATTATTGTTATTATTATTATTATTATTATTATTATTATTATTATTATTATTATTATTATTGTTGTTGTTACATTTTCGCCCCCAGGCCCCGATATGGGTCAGTGATCTGTGCCCGGGTGGGCTCTCTCTCTCAGACAGACACTACCTTGGACAATAATCTTCTTAAAGTGAAAATAACACTTAATTTCTTTTGTGTTCCATCATCATCTTAGCTGAGTTTAGCTTCGGTTCGGGTAGTTTGGGGTAATGTTAGGTTAGCTTTGGTGAAGTTATATTAGCCGCAGTTAGGTTAGATTGGCTTTTTTTTTCTTTTTTTTTGCCCTCTTCACCACTGATCGGCTCGTTAGCCTCTTGGGCGATCGGTCATGTCTCTGTCACGCACTGTTGGCATGTACTGGGCATGCACCGGCTCCTGAATGTACCTGAACACGCTCCAGTGTTGGTCAAGTCTTGTCTTGAAAGAGCTCACACTCGGTGCCGTCACAACACTCTTTGGTAGATTGTTCCAAGACTTTACAACACTCACTCCGAAAAAGTTTGTCCTCTCAGTTTTCTGGACTTGCGGCTTCTTCAATCTTGAGCTGTGACCCCTTGTGGGGCGAGCGTCCGCCAGCTCCAAGTAGGGACACTCGACTGAGTAGTGCCCCTGAGATGCTTATACATCTCAACTAGGTCCCCCCTTGCCCGTCTGTAGTATAAGCTAGGCAAGTTCAGGCGCTCCAATCTCTCAGGGTAGTTGAGGTGCCGAAGTGCAGGTACCTGTGATTAGTTTAGGGTGGGTTAGGTTAGGCTCTCCCTGTGTGTGTCTGTCTATCTCTACCTCACACCTCCTCACCTTCCCACCACCTCCTCACCTTCCCACCACCTCCTCACCTTCCCACCACCTCCTCACCTCCCCACCACCTCCTCACCTCCCCACCACCTCCTCACCTCCCCACCACCTCACCTCCCCAAGGACGAATAACGCCATATCCTTGTTACTCACGTCCTTATTGAAGTACCCGATATTCTCCTTGTAATTAACTCCAAACTTAAACGAAATGAATAGCTTTAACTGCTGCTGTGTTATGAGTAGTGTGTGAGGTGTGGAGGGTCGGGTGAGGACAGTGTGTGAGGTGTGGAGGGTCGGGTGAGGACAGTGTGTGAGGTGTGGAGGGTCGGGTGAGGACAGTGTGTGGAGGTGGAGGGTGAGACAGTGTGTGAGGTGGAGGGTCGGGTGAGGACAGTGTGTGAGGTGTGGAGGGTCGGGTGAGGACATTGTGTGAGGTGTGGAGGGTCGGGTGAGGACAGTGTGTGAGGTGTGGAGGGTCGGGGACATTGTGTGAGGTGGAGGGTCGGTGAGGACAGTGTGTGTGTGGAGGGTCGGGTGAGGACAGTGTGTGAGGTGGGAGGCCGGGTGAGGACAGGTGTATGTTATGTATGTCATGTCACTTTGGCTGCTCCTAGAGTAAACACATGTGAATCAGACAAACACATGAGGTGAAAGTGTGAGAGGAAGGAGTAAGAGAATGTAGGGTAGGGTTAATACATACATGGAGAGGGGGAGGCCGGGATGGAGAGGGGAGGCCGGGATGGAGAGGGGGAGGCTGGATGGAGAGGGGAGGCTGGATGAGAGGGAGGAGGCCGTGGATGGAGAGGGGGAGGCCGTGGATGAGAGGGGAGGCCGGATGAGATGGAGAGGGGGAGGCCGTGGGATGAGAGGGGAGGTAGTGACGTTTTTAAATATGGTGCCTACTAATTATATTTTGGGGGTTTGTTTGTTGTATTACTAGAGTGTAAAGGGGGAGGGGATGAGTAGCCTGGCAGGATCGTGTCTGAGCACATTAACCTCTCGTCTCCACTTCCTGGGTTTCAGCTTCATGTTTACTTCATGATGTATTGTTGTTCACGGCGCTTATCCCTCCCCCCCCTCGCTCCCCTTGACCCCCTCCTTAGCCTCTCTCCTTCCCTCCCCATGCTCCCCCCCCCATGCCCCCCCATGCTCCCCCCCCCCCCATGCTGCCTCACATGTTCATATACAGTACATACACTCATGCTCTTTATACAGAAAATTTGGGAAGAATACTTGGAGAATCTTGTTTGGTTCCTTGCTGTCCTGTATATCGTATAGACAATGGGTATCATTGATGGAATGTTGACATCTGGTTGGCTTATTAAGAGACCAGTGTGAAGTGATTTGCAGTCATGACAAACGTGACACATGAAAATAGAAAATTATTTATCACAGATTATAATGATTTGGCTTTTGTGCCATGTTTACTGTGAGTATAATTCATCTGTCAGTATCTAGTGAATCAGTTCATCAGACATTGTTGTTGTTCCAGCAGAAATTGAATTACCCATTGTCTGTGTGTATGACAACAGGAGACCATTTTAGCAGAAACTACTAAGTAATGGATGTAAATCTCTCAAACTTGACATTATATAATCAAATTTTAAATATCAGATTAATGGTAAATTGTTTTCACACACAAGTACAATATATAACTTAATAAAGAATAAAAAAATAATGATAGGCAGTGTGGGGTTCAAGATGTTTGGTTCACACTCAGGATGGGATGGAGAAAAGAAACTCACAATGTGCTCTCTATATACATGTTGTATTGGATGTACAATGCAGCTTGGTGCTGGGAAGGCAGCATGGTTACAAGCGTGATGTAGAGAGAGCTGGTTGGTGAGGATGCTCACAGGAGGACAGCTTGTGGGTCGCCATGCTCGCTGGCGGGAGCGAGGACCGCCAGGCAGGCGGAGGAGGAGCGAGGGCCGCCAGGCAGCGGCGGAGGAGGAGGTGTTGCTGGCTGGTTGGTGTAGGTAGAAAGAGACAGGTCACCACGAGGTCAGGTCTTAAATAGCGGGGGGTAGGCGTGGCTTAGTAGTTGACCCCCGCTCCGTGATGTATGGCGGCGCTGGTTGACCTAGACCACGAGGCATACACTGGGGAATTGGTGGGGTCGGCTACTCAGCGACAAATAGCGTTTGTAGGGGAGAAATCCACTACAATACTCCCCCTTCCCTTCAGGCAGTGTAGGAGACTTGTTGTCTGCAGGGTTGCATAGCACATGTGAGGCAGAATGGGCGCTGCATGCCTCATGTGAGATAACGGCGATGGCGTGGATGAGCCGGTCGCTGGATACAACTGTCTATATACACACTATCTGTGGGAGAAGGGAGGGAGAAAAAGGGTGTGTGGAGGCGATGAATGTTGTGCTTCCCTCACGGCAGGTACAGAGTCGTCAGATGCGCCTGCTGGGGTGTGTGGGCCTGGGTCAGGAGCAGGGGCTGCGTCAGCAGAAGCGGATGAGGGCTCGTGACAGCAGCTGGGTCCACGACAGCAGCAGGGTGCAGGACATTAGCAGGGAGTACCTGAGGGAGAAAAGGGGTGTGTGGGTCCGCGCCAGGAGCAGAGGCCGCATCAGGGGCGGCAGGGGTTACTGCTGGGCTGGGGTTCGCGTCTGAGGCAGGACGGGTGTGCTGAGGTCGGAAGAGGAGCAACTGTCTGCTTAGAGTAGCAGAGCTGCTCTAGGGTGTCTAACCTGCGGTGTAGAGACAGTAGCTGTAGAGCCTATGAGAGCTGCTTCTGGGTGGAAAAGCCAGTCCTCCATGTTGCTTGAAGACTGGGAGCGTGATCTGTTTCTCCTCTATCCTGTGTGAGTGCGAATCTCCGGTAGTCACCATTTGTTTCTCCTCCATCCTGTGTGAGTGCGAATCTCCGGGGGTCACCAATTGTGGGGTTCAAGATGTTTGGTTCACACTCAGGATGGGATGGAGAAAGGAAACTCACAATGTGCTCTCTATATACATGTTGTATTGGATGTACAATGCAGCTTGGTGCTGGGAAGGCAGCATGGTTACAAGCGTGATGTAGAGAGAGCTGGTTGGTGAGGATGCTCACAGGAGGACAGCTTGTGGGTCGCCATGCTCGCTGGCGGGAGCGAGGACCGCCAGGCAGGCGGAGGAGGAGCGAGGGCCGCCAGGCAGCGGCGGAGGAGGTGTTGCTGGCTGGTTGGTGTAGGTAGAAAGAGACAGGTCACCACGAGGTCAGGTCTTAAATAGCGGGGGGTAGGCGTGGCTTAGTAGTTGACCCCCGCTCCGTGATGTATGGCGGCGCTGGTTGACCTAGACCACGAGGCATACACTGGGGAATTGGTGGGGTCGGCTACTCAGCGACAAATAGCGTTTGTAGGGTAGAAATCCACTACAGCAGTAATAGTATTATCAAAGGGACATAGTCAATGATCTCAACGATAATAAAATGGAAAATCTTTATCATTATTTTTTGGGACCATGAGGGAATATTATGGATAGCCGGACACTTTTATCACTTTTAAACTTGATTGAAGATACAATGTCTTAACTGGAAAATTCTTTATTAAATACCTGTATGTGTCCGTGGTGTAGGAAGACCAAGACAGATCTCTCGTAATTGTAACCATTATGGATCACCTGAAGAATAGCTCCCCAAAGTGCTCACCTGAAGAGTTGCCGTAAGCCTAAATAACCTGAAATTTAACCACCCCGAAACTATCTGTGTGTGTGAGGTGGGGGAGGGGGGATATGTTGTACAAATTAAGTGTGTAAGTGGGGAGGGTGATATGTATTAAGTGCAAGTGTGACCGCAATTGATCTTTTGTTTCAGTAATCTGTATGACACAACACCAGAGCTGACACCTGCCATCCTTGACACCCTAGGGCACTTGACGCTGGCACCTAAGGACCTGGAGGATGTGCATCACTCTGTACTTAAATCCCTACAGGCGGCTAGACCTGAGCAGCTGCCTGTTGTTACCAAGTTCCTGCTAAGCAACACTCCTCAGCCAATGGCCTATCAGGTGAACACTAATATTTCTGTTTATTGTTATGTTTTATTGTTGATTAAGTGTTAATGCTATTTTCTGATTTGTGTATGTGTGTAATAATAATAATAATAATACAGGTAATAATAATAATAATTAATAGCAATTAACAGTTTTTGAGAGAGCATGGCAGCCAGAAGACTGAAAATATAGTGTGTATGCGTGCATTCTTGCATCTTTCATTCTCCTATATTCACTTTGTAAATCTCACTTTACATTTATGTCATCGTTATGGTCATTTTCCAAGCTTGCATTTATACTTATATCTTAATTTGTGTGTTTAGTCATGTAATGTGTAAAAGTGTTTTTGTTTTGTCGTTTTCACTGGACTTACTTAGTTTATGAGAAAATGGTGTTTGTTCGTGAGAGCAAAAAATTGAGTGTGGATCTAATGCTTTTTTTTTTTTTATGCTGACATGTGTGCCAAACATTTATACTGTATGTATATGGTATTTATTCATTGTTACCTCTTATCAGTTTACTAGTCGTTCAGAAGGTTTGTCTGTTCTTAGGAAACTGGAGAATCATGAGAAAACTTGCCATGTTTGGTAGGGTCACACTGGATCACACCCTTCTCACATCTGTCCTGGGCTAGAGATTGAACCCAGGACAGAATAGTGAGAGATACACGTATTACTGCTGTACCACTAATACCCTGAATTTGGGTGAGAATAAATTTTTTTGTTTTCATGCAGGTTTTATGTGACATTCGTGAAAAGATCAACCTTCCTGGAGACTCCAGGCGCGTCAGGAAGTCTCCACAGAAATTAACAGGGAAATTTGCCAGCAGCAGATCTGCAGTTAATACTAATAACGACAATGATAATATAGCATACGAAATTCTGCTTCTCAATAACATTAAGACTGTCACTCTGATTCACAGGTTCCTCTCTACTGCTTGGTTAAAGGTGAGTTACACTTCATTGTTTTGTCCTCTATACTTATGTTGTACTTATTTACCTGCGGGTATCATTTTACAACAAGCAAGGATTATGTTACTTATATTCTGTGTGTGTGTGTAGTGAGTGAGGAGTTGTTAAGTTGACATTGAGAGCTTATTCCTCTAGTTTGTATAAAGAGTTAACTAAAGTCTATTATGTATTAAAACTTCACTAAAAAGTCTATCCTATATGTGTGAGAGCTTACCGATAAAAAGTTAAAAAACACACGCTTCCCTTCCCATATGCAGTACAATAAAGTTAATTTGATTTTTTAATAAAGTTTGTTGTCTTGGGTGTATAGGACATGTAAGAGGTACTCAGTATTCTCCTGTGGGTATGGTGGAAACTTGAGGTGGATACCAAAAATGAAAATATTACCGCAGAATGCAATTGATATGTGGGATGGATAGTATAGAACCTCATTTGCATACAGTAGTTACCATGTACATAAAAAATGGAGAATCTATGTCAAAGGCCAAGGTAATTTTTCCTAAAAAGTATACGGTAGATTTATGGTTCTGAACTGAAATAATTTTACTTCAATACTTCACCCATACCTTGCTTCCTAGGGCGGGAAAAACGCTATCAAAATAATCGAATATAAGGCCTCGGGAGTAAAGCTCAAAATCATATTTACTAAACTGGAATTATTTGTCCTTGGATCATAACTCAAGTTTCCGTATACAAGAAGTGACAAACATGATACTATTACCCAAGTACTGTACTGCACCTTGACCCTGGATGGAGAACAGTCCTTATCATTCTGGGGTTCACTCTGGCTATGATGTCTACAGTTTGTGATATTCTTGTTTATAATTTACACTTGCTTACAGTTTATGATACTCCTGTTTATAATTTACATTTGTTTACAGTTTGTGATGTTCTTGTTCATAATTTACCTCTGTTTACAGTTTATGATAATATTGTTTATAATTTACACTGGTTTACATTTTATAGTAATCATGTTTATAATTTACACTTGTTTACAGTTTATGGTTATCTTGTTTATAATTTACACATGCTTACAGTTTATGGTAATCTTGTTTATAAATTTACACTTGTTTACAGTTTGATACTCTTGTTTATAATTTACACTTGTTTACAGTTTGATACTCTTGTTTATAATTTACACTTGTTTACAGTTGGATACTCTTGTTTATAATTTACACTTGTTTACCGTTTGATATTCTTGTTAATAATTTACATGTTTTTCAGGCTATTCAAGATGTGTATGACGTGGCCGGTGTTCGACCTCTTGACTTCCTGATCCTGCTAATGTTTTACGACTCTGTGCCTTCTCAACGGCGTGCCATAGAGAGCATCTTCCGCAACAAGATTCGAACTGGATTCTTTTCTGATACACTGCTTGAAAAAATATTCACAAACCATAGTTGTGTATGTATTTGTACGGTGGTTAATTTGTAGGGTACTGTAGCTCTGTAGTCTTCATTGGTCAGTATTTGTATGATAAAAGCTCCTCTCCTTATTTAAACCATTCTGTATTTGAAAATTCATTTAGTGAATTTAATTGTCTTGTCTAGTATAATATTTCATTACAATACTTTACTTATAGTTTCCTCTTCTTAGTGCAGTACATAGACAGTTAAACTGTAAATGGCTTCTTCTTTTTCTTTTCTTTTTTCAAGGTACTGAAAGAAAATTTTGAACCGTTGAAGAAGTTGGCCAATTTACTGCTGAGATGCCCTGAACCTATCATTAGCCAGACAGGAGCTTCCTTATATAGGTGAGCACTTATGCTTGATATTTATTCTGAACTTAAAGTTTCTATTTACCAAAGAAGAAAGTTGCAGTACATTTACTAAGTCCTGGTAAAGTTCCCCTTTCAGACCTGAACCTCGAAGCTTTGCTGTCACTTACCCATATTTTTCGCCATGGGTTTTGAAACATAATGCTTGGGCAGTGGTTCTCAACCTGGGGGCCATGGCCCCCAAGGGAGCCACGGCAAGAATTTAGGGGAGCCACGTCGAGCTGCTATAAATTGTACGTTTCCAAATACAGTAGTACCCCGATTTATGCGGTCAATTGAACCCACAGGGTACCGCGGAAAGTGAAAACCGCATAAAGTGAACAACAGAACATATGGGATTAATTCCAATAGAGACTGGCCCGACCCCCAAACTCCACTTTTTCCGACACAATACCTATGTTGTAGTAAAAATAACATCTAAATTTTATGATGGTATGCTCACACAATTAATATTTAAGAGAAATACAGTCGCCAGGTTAATGTCCATTCAAATAATGGACTCAAATCCCCCCCCCTCTTCCCAGCTCACTGGCCCCTACCTCTCTGAGAAATGATTGGGTGAAACACTAGATTTTAACGTTTAGTAATAAATAATACCTCAGACTAAAGTTAGGATAATATAATTGACATTTCTGGATTCCTTGCAGGTCAGGGAATATTTTGAATGTAAACGTCATATATTTTGCACAAAAGATAAAATATTTGCTTTGTGTAAACCAAATTATTACATTAGATCTAAAATTTGTATGTCTAATGCAAAATCCATGATGTTTATATTCAAAATGATCATCATATTGTAAGAATTCCAGCAATGTAAATTATATTCTGGCCGGGTAATTTGTATGAATTTTATGAGCTAAAACATATATCTTCATTAAATAAACAAAGAAATATTCTTCAAGGACACTTTCTGTCAATCAAAATACTCGGCCCTAGCTGGGTCAGTCCCTCCCTCCCTCCCCCCCACCCCCCACCTTCCCTCCATACCAGAGAAGCTTTGGGAGAAAATAGTAATTTACATTTTTAGTAATAAATAATAACTCAGACTAAAGTTAGGATAATATAATTGACATTTCTGGATTCCTTGCAGGTCAGGGAATATTTTGAATGTAAACTTCATATATTTTGCACAAAAGATAAAATACTTGCTTTTTGTAAACCGAATTATTACATTAGATCTCAAATTTGTATGTCTAATGCAAAATCCATGATGTTTATATTCAAAATGATCATCATATTGTAAGAATTCCAGCAATGTAAATTATATTCTGGCTGGGTAATTTGTATGAATTTTATGAGCGAAAAAAAAAAAAATTATACTTCACGCGTATATGAGTAGATGCACCGCGGAAAGTGAAAGTCCGGTTCTGGCAAGGTATCGCGTAAATGAGAAATCGCGGAATAATACTGTAATGCTGGGAATCTGAATTAAACAAAACTTGTATTACTAATTTTGACTTGGCAGAAGAGAATTTTCATTCTCTTTTTGTCATTTTGTTTAATCATAACGACAATACAATTTTAATATTTACAGACTCTGGTGCTATTTTTTTTTTACGGAATTATTTAAGATTTCACAGGTCCAGTCCCTCTCTGTGTGACAGGCGCTGGACGGAGCTGCTGAACTGACTTGTTCAGTACGTGTCCGTGTGTCATCCCTTTGCAAGTGGTGATAAGACCGAATGATCTCAGTCTGGCCTGGGATACCATCACGAAAACAGTGGAGTGTATTGTCTCTGAACCATATATTGTGTTTGAGCTTGACTCAAGCATAATATACTCCGTAATTGGTGTTACTTATTTTGTTTCATATTTCATGTGGTCGCTGCTTTACGTGGGTGAAATATTTGTACACTTCCTTTATTAATTATTTCCTTATTTATTGGTGCCATTGTTGTTCATACTCATTCTTTACTTATATAATCCTCCCATTTTTAGTGCTAAATTGGTATGACTCACTATTCTTCTCATTCTTCCAAGTTGGGCAGTGCTTGTCAAAGGAGGCGTGTTCTTGCTTACAGGAAGTACACTTCAGCTTGCTAGCTTGAGTGTGAATGTTTACCTGTGTGCATGTTTGTGTATGACTGTACAGTGAGTTCTGCTGTAACGCGTGTTTTGATAACGCGAATTTGCTCTAACGCGATTTATGAATTAGGAACGATATTTGTATAACGCGAACTCTTGTTTGCTATAACGCGATTTTTGCTTGCTATTTCTCCAATTTTGTGGTATTAATTGTGAATATGGTGAAGAAGAATATCTCCAAGAAGCGTTCTGGTGATAGAATTCCCGGTGATGATCGTAAAAGAAAGGATATAACACTTGAAGAGAAGCTCGATGTTATCAACCTCAAAATCACCCTTCTCCCCCATCAAGTTACATTCATATTTTTTCAAGGTAAAGTGTTACATTTACTGCATGATTTCATTATTAGATATGAATGTAACATTTATTTAGACTGTGCTATCCTTTGTGTTAGGCTAACTACTAAATTTTTTCGATTTCGAGTAATCTGCACCTAACCCTATTTTCTCCATAAGCCCTGTTATTTCTATTACGCGATTTTCTATAACACGATATTTTACAAGAACACAATTATCGCGTTATAGCAGAACTACCTGTATGTGTGCTTTATGTGTGAGTGCATGGGCGTGTTATGTATGTGAATGTGTGTGTGTGTGTGTGTTTGCCATTCTAACTCTTGTCCTATTTATCTGTCCTTCTTTATCATTCTTTAGTCTTTATCACTTGTCTGTTTGTCTGTTCTGGGAGAAAAATGAAGGAGGCCACGAGGATGTTGAAAATTCCTCAAGGGGGGAATGGAGTGAAAAAGGTTGAGAACCACTGTGCTAGGGGGTGTAACACAGCTTTTTTCTTTGACCATAAGTAAGAACTTTACTGTAGTTACAGTAGAGTTGGCATATACCCTGTATAGCGACTTTATATAACGATTTTTTTATATCGCGGCTACCAAAATTATCGACATTTTCCTATGTATAGCGACAATTTTTTTTTTTCGTGAGGGACATAGGGCAGGAAATATTTCAAATGTACCGCCATGGCAAGCAAATGCGTTATTTGCTCACCAGAGGCGCCACGGTGACTGCTCACTCAGGCATTCATGCTCACCCGTTCAGTCTTTCTAAGTGAGTAATGAGAAAGCAGCTGACTGCTGCAGAGTACGACTTCTAAGGTGAGTGTAAATGGGTTGCTAGTGATGTGAGAAGTGAAGTGAGGATAATGGAAAGCTTAATGGAAATTATTTAATACTTTAACTAATATTTTTGGTTTGTTCGTTTATGATTGCTAAGTGAGGGTGTCAGTGTGTCGTCTGTTGTTCTCGGGATGACACGTCAGCTGCCGAGTCCGGTGCAGATTCCAATTTCTAAAGCGAGTGTAAATGGGTTGCTAGTGACGTGAAAAGTGAAGTGAAGATAATGGAAAGCTTAATGGAAAAGATTTAATACTGGAACTAATATTTTTGGTGTTTGTTTATGTAGGTGCGGGATTGTCAAGTGAGGGGTGGCAGTGTGGTGTCTGCTGCCGAGTCTGGTGTTCCCAGGATGGTGTTTCAGCTGCCGGGTCTAGTGTTCCCGAGTCTAGTGTTCATTGGCGCTTTAGTTAGAAAGAAAATAAATTCATTTAGTCACCTTTTTTTGCCTCCAGAACCTAACCTTAGTTTCCCCATTGATTACATGTAATTATATACAGTGGTCCCTCGGTTAACGACCACAATCCGTTCTAGAAGGTTGCTCGTTAACCAAAAAACTCGTTAACCGAAACCATTGTTTCAATGGGTTTTTGGGTACAGTGGGGTATGCTATAACGAATCTAATTGGTTCTAGAACCTTGTTCGTTATAGCATTCGTTCGTTATAGGATTAATCTGTTCCAGGCCCCCAAATACAACCACTTAACACTGAAAAATATAATATAAAATTGTAAAAAAGTGCATAAATATGCATCTAAACCCCTGAAATAAAGAATATCATTAATACTTGTAATAAAAAAACAATAAATTAGCAAAAAAAAAAAAATTAAATAATGTACGTTGTAGGAGTTTCGTTCGTTATAGCATTCTCAATTTTATGGGTAAAACCGTTCGTTATAGGAATATTCGTAGTAGGATCCGTTCGTTATAGCATACCCTACTGTAATTGGTTCCAGCTCACCGAAAATTGCCTAAATTCAACAAAAAAGGTAGAAAGGTACACTTACTTTGAGGTGTGTATGTAGAAGGCTCCTGGATGATGATGGGAATTAGAATGAGGGTGGAGGAGAAGGGAGAAGAGAAGGCATTGGGTAGAAGAGAAGTCACCCTATGGCGCCATTTCACCCATAAAATTTTAGTTCTCTTGGTGTAATTCAAGATTATTTTCTTTAAATCAACACTGCACTGCATTATATATTGTCAATGTGTAAAATAAACTTCAAAATGACCAATACTTTGCTTGTAAACAGAAAAAAAGCATTTAGTTGAAGAGTCTCAAGCAAGATGTTACCTCCACTGAAAAGACAAAAAGACTGACGCCTGTATGCTGTGTTGGCAGGCTGGATGGCGTGCCACAAACTAGTGACCCTACCTTCAATTATGTTCAATAATTGTTAAAATGACTAAAAAATTTAATATTAAACTTTTAAAATTATTGAATGGTATAAACTTCTTGATATATACTCAAAAGGTAAGGAATTTAAGCCCTAGAACCGATTACTGTATTGGCGGACTAATACTACAGCTGGTGGACCGCCAAATGCAAGCTAAAACATGTGGAGGTCGGCTCGTAAGAAACTCGTTAATCGAGAGATTGCTCGTTAACCGAAGTTAAGAATCTTATGGAAGGTAACTCGTTAACCGAAATCTCGTTAACCGAGGGACCACTGTATAGCGATTTAGTATATAGCGAACATTCTTGGACCCTATCTCGCGATATATCCCGCCCCTACTGTACACTTTTGGGGAAATCCATTGGCATCCTTAAAATAGTCTGCCTTACCTGAGAAGGTGCAAATGTTGATTTGATGAGAGGTTGGGACCTTACCATGACAGTGACCCACACTATGAAGGTGAAAAAAGGAAAAGGAAGGTTATGTTGTAGACCCTACTGGAACACCCACCACTTCACCAGCAAAGAAATAAAACTTGTACAGTATGAGTATCAGTAAAGCCATCAGTTACTATCCAGGTGTGCATTGTAAGTGCCGTAACATAGTTTGTCTAGATATTATCAAACTTGCCCTTCAATTGATACTGTATCAACACCCAGCAGTCCACCCATTGTACAAATACTGTACTGTAGAGGCAGAAGATTTGTACAAGTGTACAGATAAAACCTGTGCAGAGTGAGGGCAAGGTGTATTATGTAGATACATTAGAGTCTTCACATCATTGTTCTTGGAAGGTGTTGTAGTAATGTGCAAAAATTAAGTTTGTAAATCAAATCCATATTATATGATAGACATTCACCCGTAGTGTTAATATATACAACTTTTTGTCATAGAATATCGTTAAACTTTTCAATAGAAATGCACCAGTAACATTATAATGTTTTTCCGCCTTTTGTCAGGTTGTCCTTCTTGCATCTTGACGGATACCAGCAGCAAGAGATTGTGTTGGCTTTGTTGAAGCACCTTGGTGACAACGTTGCTGTGAGATTTACTGCGTTGTCACTCTTGTCCTTACTCGCACACCAATATACTGCTGCCATGTCAAAGTTCACCATCTTTCTCAAGGTAAATTATATTTTCTACTTTACCAATGTTTTTTACAGTTTATATCACATTAATGGTTTAGTGTATGGTTCCCAGAATTCTGTAGGGGGAAGAGGAAGAGGGGGTTCTCTTAGTTTTACCCAACCTCAAGTTTAACTTCTTAGTTTAAACATACGGTATCTGTTTTTCAGTTTTCTGTACAGTGACATGATATAAAAATAGGCTTAGAGGTTGTGACTGTCTTAACTGTTGTTGCTCTCTGACTGGCTATAATACATCTTATTAAAAAAAATTAAGTAAGAATAAGTAAATCAATATATAATATATCCAGTCACTTCCCTCTCTGTCTTTCTTTTCACTTGCCTGTTCATGAGTTTCCAGTTTTGCAATAATAGTTTAATGTCTGTTTAACCTTTCTTATAAGTCATAGTAGGGTGTGGTGGTCATCACTCCTTCACTGTCCTTAAGGTCACTAGTTCATCCTTTTTGTTTACCTTCAGCCCTCCTTTCTCTTCATTTGTTGTTAATTTTTTCTTGATTTCCTTCCCCTCTAACTTTTCCTCTTTTTTTTTCTCCCATTTCTCATGTTCCCCAGTTCTTATTTTCTTATTCTCTCTGTCACCATTTCCTGTCTTCTTTTTTTACCTCTGTATGATGGGGTTAGATAATTTTGTGATAGATCATAATGTTGACAGGGTTCACTTGATGTGGTGGACGAGCTGGGAATTGGGGAAGTGAAGAGGCTGCTGGATGTTGTGAGCCTCCTCGTCTACTGTGACTCCTCACATGCTGCACTACAAGATGAACTGATCATCCTAGTCCGGAAGCAGCTCTCTCACTCAGTCTTGAAGTATGTTTAAAGTCTTCCTTCCTCCATTATCAAATTTTATGAAGTAATAAAGGTCAACCAATGATATTTTGGGCTCTTGTTGTGGTTGGGGTACACTTAGTTAAGGTTGAGTAATGTTCATTTTAGCTTCTATTAACAATGCAATTGTTCTTTTATGTCCTGTTACAATATCAGAAATGTAATGATTTAGGTTTTTGATGGGTTAAAGGATACTGTAGTAATTTATTTGCATTTTGTAGGAATATTCTTACAAGTGAACTTTTCTTAGTCTTGTGTTTGTTAAAGGAACAATGTAATAAAATTTTCTTTCTGATATACAGTACGGTACTGTACTAGATATGTTCTACAGTACTACTCTTCCACAACAAGGCCTCATATATGTCTCTGGTTTGCTCCTGTTACTACTTCCAACCCAACCATAGCCATCAGAATTATACCCTTCCCCAAAGGTCACCTGATGCCATACCCTGCTCTTTCACAAATACTACAGCTTCCTGGATGTCTATCTGTCCTACCTCATATGAATCCTTCACCCTATATTTTCATCTTGGTCCTTTCCTCTCACCCTACCATCCACCTTTAAGTTATATATATTATACACAATACATACACACTACAGCAGAATATCACCTGTAAATGTATTCTGTTTTGAGAGAGATTTGAGTATTCTGAGTATGAAATTTAAGAACATAAAATACATTACATATAATTATCTTTTTTTAAATTTTCAGTATATGTGAAAGTAAACGAGGAGAAATTGAATTATTAGGCAACTGGCTCACTAACTGTATAGTGGTGTGAGTGACGAGTCTACTTATCTTCATGTGAGTTTGAGGTGTAACTTACATGGTGATTGTAGGAGGTTGATGAAACATTGAAAGTTTATTTGTAGACTTAATGACATTACATGTGTTAGAGAATAATGTGCACAGGTATATGCAAAAACTAATACTGTAATGTAACCACAGTGACACAAGTACTATGGTTTGTTACTGTACAGTCAACTCTCGCTTTACGCGGTCCCACTTTACGCGGTCCCACTTTACGCGTTTCCACGTTTACGCGGTACCCTGCCGAAACCGGAATGCTCACTTTCCGCGGTGTGTGTACCCCTTTACGCGGAGAGCGGCTGGCGGTCCTCTCGCGCCTCGCCATTTTTGGATCCAAACCTCCCACCATCTCTCCCGCCATCCGCCATGTTGTGTAAGCGGCGCGAGTAAGTTGCGCAGTGTATGTCTGTTGCGTTATCGGTGACGTCATATGACGTAGCGGACTGTGATTGGGCAAACAATCCTTACTTCCCTCCCTGCTAGCTGTGATTGGTTTAATGTAGTACTATGACGTGCCCCGCCGCGGGAGCGTTCAAGCCCCATGACTTACCGCTTCAGTTACACCCCTCCAGGCTACACCGTGTATATCGGTATCCAGTGTTCCATAAGAATGGCTTCCACCAGACCACCACCACCACCACAAAGAAACCTTGCATTACCTGGACCCAGCCGCCCTAAGCCAAAGAAGACATGACGTTCCTTAAGCTACGAAATCAAATATAAGATCATGCAAGAGTTGGAGAAAGGAACAAGACAGGTTGATCTCGCGCTCCAGCATGGTGTTAACGAATCAACTATCAGGACAATTAAGAAGGATGCAGCCAAGATAAAGGAGCACATGAACATCACAAAGTCTACAGGTGCTTCTATGATCAAGTATTTCCACAACCAGGTGCTTCTCAAGACGGAAAAATTACTTGTGAGCTACTTGGTGCGTCAGGCGCGACGGAACATGGCGGTGGACACGCGCTCAGTTAAGGAGTACGCATGTGAACTGTATGCTGCAGTGTCACGAAAGATGGGAATTACAGAGCCCAAACCCTTTAATGCTTCCTCTGGGTGGTTACAGAGGTTTAAGAAGAGAAACAAGATCACCAATATCAACATTGGTGGTGAAGAAGCTAGTGCTGACCGTGTTGCGGCTAGGGAATTTCCTCCGTTTTTACGTGAGATTATGGAGGAAGGACAGTACAGTGACGACCAGGTGTTTAACATGGACGAATCTGGTCTTTTTTTGGAAAAAGCTACCTTCCAAGACCTTCGTTGTGAAGAATGCCAGCAAGTGTCGGGGGCCGGAAGTTGCAGAAGGAGCGCATCACCGTCCTGTTTACCTCCAATGCCTCCGGTACCTGTAAGCTCAAGTTATCGGTGATCCACACAGCACGCAAGCCGCATGCCTACAAGAGCATGGACATGACCAAGCTAAATGTCCACTGGCTGACCGCACGTAAGGCGTGGATGTTCTCTACACTGTCCCTCTCCTGGTTTGATGACTGTTTCGTTCCCGGTGTGAAGAAATTCTGTGAGCAACAGAATGTGGCATTCAAGATTTTGTTGCTGCTGGACAACGCACCAGGACACTCGCCCCTACTATTAGATCGTCACCCCAACATAAAAGTGGTCTTCCTTTCTCCCAACACTACGTCTATAATACAACCCATGGGCGAAGAATTAATCTGTAATGTAAAAGCTGCATTCTCTGCTAAAAAATTCAACCTACTGAACTACTACACCAACACCAAAGAAGAGTTGCGTAACCTGAGTGACACCAACACCGATAGCAAGAGCGAAGACGATGAGGATCAACAGTTGGCAGAGCAAGAAGTACTTTTAAAACAATTCTGGAGAACATTCAATGTCAAGAAAGCTGTGGACTTCTTGGTGGAGGCATGGGATCAGCTGTCTGTAGCAACTGTTCATCACGCATGGAGACATGTGTTGCAAGGCATTCCGGGCTTTAGGCAGAGTAAATCTGTGACTGGTGAGGTTCAGACTGTTGCAGTAGCAGTGGACCTTGCCAGAGAAGCTGTGCAGAGTGTTACAGCTGCAGGCTTCTCCGAGACCACCAACGACGACATCCTGGAGGTGATAAGGGATCCTGATGTGACTACCTACGAGATGGTAGATGATGATGACGTCAGTGAAGAGGCAGGTGATGCGTCATCCCAAGAAGAACGCCGTTTATCCCATAGTAATGTTAGGGGTGCCATCGAGTGTATTGAGAAAGTCAAGCTCTTCCTTTCCGACGACCCTGACGCAAACAGGTATGAAATCTTCACTACCCAGCTGTTGCAGGCTATGGAGCCCTACATCAAGGTTTAGCACGACAACATAAACACCAGCCGTCAGCAAAGCATAACAGAGTTCTTTCCCCGCAACCCACCACAGCCAGCCCAAGCCAGTGATAGTGACAGAGGCAGAGACAGTGATGATGACTTTGAGGGATTTGTCAGGGAGGCACTAGTAAGTGTGGATGACACCGATGAAGACTCACCTGAGGGCCAGTAGCCTGCCCTCTGCTTCGGAACCAGCCTCCATTCCCCTACACCGACCCATCTCTTCTACTAACATAAGTGTTAACCCCAACCTTGTTTTTTTCTAACCTAACCTTCAGTTTATTGACTGTTCCCTTCTATATTATGTGTGGGTGAATACCATCATAAAGTTAAGATGTTATTTTTAGTAAAACGTACGTATTGTGTCGGGAAAAAGTGGAGTTTGGGGGTCGGCCCGGTCTCTATTTCAATTAATCCCATATGTTATGTTGTTCACTTTACGCGTTTCTCACTTTACGCGGGCCGCCGTGGGTTGAATTAACCACGTAAAGTGAGGGTTCACTGTACATGCTTTCCTTGGACAAAAGTTCATGATTGTATCCACGTTACATAATTATCCATTTTACAGAAGCCTCATGGTCTCAAACTTTTCAGCTGACAGATACCTTACAGATACATAGAATATGAAGAGCTTCAAACATATTTGGATATTATTAGCTATAGTGGACTTTATAAATATGTAAAGAATAATTTTTTCTTGTTTCTCAGAAGAACATGATACTGTATCTAGTAATGGAGCACCAGTGTGTGGATGCACGTAACCAGATGGTTAAAAGCAAACTTCTTCTGTTTCTATACTGAGTGAATCAGTTGAATTGTCTTGACATTTTTGTCACAGGTACAAGCTTATTGGTGTGTTGAATGCTGCCCTTGCTATGAAGAACATGGTAGTGAGGGATGACAGCTTGAGTACTACAACGAGCAGCAAGTCATCAGGTTCTGGCCTAAATACATCCTCTCTGAAGGAGGCAGAAAACCTCCTCTGTCTAGTGTTGTCTTCCACAGCCAAGTCACCAACAGCTTCTGCATTGTTCATGGATGAGATGGCATCTATTACCCTCAAGGAGGGCATGAACTCAAAGCTAGAGGTAATTGATTATGCTCAGACTTTTTGTATTAACTTCTATAATTATACTGTATATTAGGAAATGGTGACCATAAATCTGTTAACTTGAAGGAATTTATGAGAAGTTTATTTTTCATATACAGAGTACTAGGTAATATCTCTCTCTTTGTTTTATCTATTCATTATCATTGTTTTTAATTTCTTCAACATGTGTCTATTTACAACCCTAATTTTTGCACTGGACAGGAATGGGTGTGTGATAAGATGATCAACGACTTTCAAAATACATTTGTGTTAGATTATGCCTTAGACTCTCAGCCTCCGGAGGATCTTTTTGCCCTAGAAGCGTGTTGGAGCTTAAATACAGATGTGGATGATACTGGCATCATCATGAACCTGGCACCATTGGTTATAAAAGCTGAAGCCACAAGAAATGACCCAGTAGCCAAAGAGTGAGTCATGTGCTCTGTTGTTTTTCACATGTTATTCTATGATTATCAGCAAGACACAGATATGATCCTCTTTTTAGACCAATGTGTGAGTATTACTGCCAGAGGGTTTGGTGCACACTGGAGATCAAGGTTCACAACCAAAAACTAAATGCTGTACAGAAATAGAGGCTCCAGATATTTAGTTATGGAAAATGTAAATTAAGCTATGAGCAACATGAGTGGGAGGTAGGAGGGATCAAGTCAATTGCCATATACAGTAATACCCCGCTTAACACGGTTTCGCTTAGCGCGATTTCACGTATACGTGGTGCCTCGCCAGAGCTGAACTTTCACTTAACGCGGGTTTTTCAACGTATACGCGCAGTGTCCGACTCGAGAGCTATTTTTAGATTCGCCCCACCTGCCACCCTGCCTGACTGCCTGCCTGCCTGCCTGCCTGTTTTAGCTCATAAAATTCATACAAATTACCCGGCCAGAATATAATTTACATTGCTGGAATTCTTACAATTTGGTGATCATTTTGAATATAAACATCATAGATTTTGCATTAGACATACAAATTTTAGATATAATGTTTACTCTGAGTAAATATGTTATCTTTTGTGCAAAATATATGACATTTATATTCAAAATATTCCTGGTCTTACAAGGAATCCAGCAATGTCAATTGTATTATCCTAACTTTAGTTTGAGATATTATTTATTAAAATTTAGTGGTTTTCCCCCCAAATTTCTCAGAGAGGGAAGAGCCAGCAGTGTAGTGTGAGAAGAGGGGGAGGGAGTTGAGTCCATTATTTGAATGGACATTAACTTGGTGACTGTATTTCTCTATTTCTCTAAGTATTAATTGTGTGCATGTACCATCATAAAATTAAGATGTTATTTTTACTAGAACATAGGTATTGTGTCGGAAAAAGTGGAGTTTCGGGGTCGGGCCAGTTTCTATTGGAATTAATCCCATATGTTCTGTTGTTCACTTAGCACGGTTTTCACTTAACACGGTACCCTGTGGGTTTTATTGACTGCGTTAAGCGGGGTACTACTGTATGTAGTGAGAGTATAGTATGTGGTCTTAGAATTATCCTTAACACCTAATTTGGGCATAGGGGTTAGGTGGAGGAGTGGATGATTACTTTTGACTGCAACTGTACAGTACAGTACATGAAATATCCACAGATGATTGCCACCTCCCCTATACCTAAGTTTCACTAATGATGGCTGCCATTTAGGGGTTTAAAATTATCAAGCTTTTCAGGAGCAAGATGGTATCCTTGGCTCCACAGTTCCGTCTGCTGCGAATGCTGGAGAGTCGTATTCAGGAAGGCAACCTTGGCAATATTGATGCTCTTCTTGGGTGTCCAGTGTACGGGCCAGCTACATCTGTCTTCGAGAAGTTTGATATCCTCACAAAAATGGAGCAGCATGCGGCCCTCTCCTGCATCTTCTATACCATTAATTGGTTTCTTGAACTTATTAATGCCTTTGTTACACAGAAGGATAGTGATCTGAAGCAGAAGGTTGGTAGTGTATTCTTTATGGACTGTTGATTAGATAGTCCACAGCACTTACTGATTCCAACACAACCTAACCTAATTATTGTGATTAGGTTTCATATTAGGCCCCAGTCATAATAGGTTCCAGTCACAACAGGTTAAGTTCATTTCGATTGGTTAAATAAAATTGTAGCCAGATTTTGTATGAATGGATGAAATTGAATCAAAGGATGGAGATGGGGTGATGTAGTATAGGTGCATAGTTGAATAAGACAGGTAAGATCTGATGATGCCCATTTGTGATTTTTCTGTTATTTATTTATTTTATTTTTTTACTGGGATTGGCCCACCCGGGTACAGGTCAACGACCCACATCGGGGCCTAGGGGGTGAAAAAAATAAAAATTAAAAATAGAAAAGGAAAAGGTAATATTAATCTACACATCGAGGCCTATGGGGGCAACAAAAAAAAGAATAAAGAAATTAAGAAATTGAAAAGGAAAAGGTTATATCAATCTACATCACGAAGATGCCGGAAAACAAGCTTTTTAAAGTGAGACAGATTGTATGAGTATGGAAACAGAAGAAAGCAGAACATTCCACAGTTTGGCTCTGTGAGGAAAGAAGGATGTACAGTGCAGTATAGTCTCGTTTTACGCAGTCAATTAAACCCATGGAGGTCCGCGTATAACCCGTAAACGAAATAAAAGAACATATAGGATTAATTGAAATAGAGACTGGGCCGACCGCCAGACTACCTTTTTTCCAACACAATACGTGCGTTGTAGTAAAAATAACATCTTAATTTTATGATGGTATGCACACACAATTAATATATAAGAGAAATATCAATAATATTAGGTTTTTTAACACTTATGTCAGTAGAAGAGATGGCTGGGCACACAGGGATGGGGGGCTGGTTCCGAGGCAGAGGGCAGATTAGTGGCCCTCAGGTGTATCACTTGTATCACCTGTATCACTATCCACCACAGAGGCTAGCAGGGCCTCGGCGTCAAACCCCTCAAAGTCCTTATCGTCACTTGGGCTGGTTGTGGCTGTGGTGGGTTGTGGGTGAAGAACTCGGTAATGTTTTGTTGACAGCTAGCATTGATGTGGTCGTGATACATCTGGACATACTGCTCCATAAATTTCAACAGAAGGTTATTAGACACTTCATAGTGATGATTGACTGGGTCTTTGGTAAGGATGAGCTTGATATTCTCCGCAAACTCGATGACCTCCTTCACATAACCATGGCTTGGGCCAGGTAGTTCGAGGTTTCTCGGGGGTGGTGGGGGTCCAGCGTAAGCCATTGTTGAGCAGATTAGCTGGCACGAGGGAGAACTGTTTATGCGGAGACGGAGGTCAATGGGACTGGCGCTTCTAAGGTCAGCGACTTATTCCCTCTGGTGGCAGGGCACGCCAAGTAAAATTAGACCAATCACAGCTCGCGGTAAAGGGGATGCATGGGTGGTAAGGATGCGTGGCCCAATCACAGTCCAAAACATTATCGTCACGAGTCTGACGTCAGCGGTGACGTAAGAGCGACCTAGCGCTCAGCCTTCCCCGTGCCGCTTCCCGAGTAAATTAAGGAATGTACCGCGTAACTAATAATTGTCGTGTCTTGACATGTGCCGCGTAAATGACCAACCGTGTATAAAAAATACACGTAAACCGAGACTATACTGTACTATAACGGGTTATTCTAGTGTTGACCGACATCCACAGAAAAATGATGGTCACCGTGGGCAAGATGTGTGTTACGAGCCCACGGCCTTGCCGGCGGTACACAGGATGCCAAATCCACCGAACATTGCCCATTAAAGTACCTATAAAAGAGAGAGTGAAGCAACATTGCGGCGAAGAGAAAGGGAAGAAAGATCGTCACCTAAGGGACGAGAGTTAATATGACGAAATGCCTTTGATTCCACCCTATCTAACAGTTGGACAGAAGAAATGCCACCCCAGATATGAGAGCAGTACTCCAAGTTAGGACGAATGAATCCCTTATATACTTGAAGCAACTACTCAGGAGTGAAGTAGCTACGGCATCTGTACAGCATTCCCAACTTTCGGGAGGCAGCTTCAGCAATGTTGAGGATGTGTGTGCTTCGATGACATATTAGAGGAAATGGTGAGGCCTAGCATATCTATTTAGAATTTGGCGGAATGATAGCGTCCTGAAATGTGATTGGTGGGAGATCATCTAATTTGGAAAGTGTAATTGGTAAATACTCAATTTTATTACTATTGAATTTAATCAAGTTTCTACCTCCCTATTCATAGATGCTGCACAGATCCACATTGATAGATGTAATGATATCAGCTCTAGAAACAGATCTAGTTTGAGAGTTAGGGGGAAGGGGAAAATGTGAAGAAGAGTGAAGAGTAGAATCATCAGCGTAAGAATGGATGGAATTAGTTGTAGTGTGAAGTAAATCATTAATAAAAAGAAGGAAGAGAGTAGGTGAAAGATCAGAACCTTGTGATCAGAAGACCCTAATGGGGCAGAAATTGAATATGAATAGTGTGAGAGGTTAGAGGTAAAACAAATATCAAGAATGTTAGCAAGTTGATCGTGTTGATCAGGAACGAGTGTTAGGTGTTTGATCATTTGTTCCAAATCATTAAGTAAGGAAAAAGAGTGCCTCAGCCCCACCTGGGTCATCATCCCTTGCAGAGCCAAGCCACTCTCTGTGATGTACATTAAAATCCCCTAGGTAGAGGATCTCGGTGTTGGGGTGTGTGGATAGCAACGACTCATGGCAAGAAGTGAGATAGTCAGAGAGTTCCAAATAGTTGTGAGAACAGTATAGGAAACAAAGAAAAATAGTCATAGTTGGTAGAGATATTTTGAGCCAGATGACATCATAAAGGGAAGATTCAAGATCCGTGAGTCGAGCTATAGGTGTACGTGTGTTGCACTAAGTGCTTACACCTCCCTTAGAACGGAAAGAGGTATAAAGATTGTAGTTGGAGACTTGAAAAGGTTTGGGTGAAGCTGCTTTGGTCAGTTGAAGATCGGAGAGTAGTAAGAGGTCAGGGGAAGAGGTTAATAGATGGTGCTCCACAGAAGAAAAATTGGATCTCAGGCTGTAAATGTTGGAAAAATGAAGTGTGAAAAAAGCCTATCCCCCAGCAACCGCGGTGGCGTCAGTTGAGGCCCCAGTAGTTTGATGATATCAGGTCGGCCCTGGCGTCCACAACCTTCCTGACCAGTGGGACCCATCCGAGAAGGCCCCGCTTCAATATTAATATCAACTGACATCATAGGAGAGTAAAATAGAATGGATAGAGCAGATCAAGAGTGAGGAAGGTTATATTAGTTGTGTTGTCAATAGTAAGAGAGAGAATTGAGACTTTGCAATTGTGTATAAATGTGGCAGAAAGACAGATCAGCAACCTGGGACTTGGTCAAAATTTTTGTGATGCCATATGGCAGCAGGGTCTACCATTAGACAACACATTATGCTTCCAATATCTTCCCAGGTGGTAGTACCTCCCTGTTTGGTTGCTGCCTTCTACCTACTACCTATGGTAACATAGGTGTACGTATTAATGTAGAATAAGTAAATAACTTGCAAGTGAACAGAAGGCCAGAGTTGAAATGGAATGAGGATTGATTGAGTTGACAGTAATTAGTATATACATTTGACTTTTATAATCACACACACACACTCATGCACACACACACACACACACACACACACACACACACACACACACACACACACACGCACACACACACACACACGTGCACGCACGCACACACACACACACACACACACACACACGTGCATGCACGCGCACACACACACACACTTCTAGTATGTCCTTAATCCCATTCTTCCATTCTCCCATTCTCTTATATTGTCTTCACCCCCTACCATCCATCTCTGAGTTATACTGTTTCGAGCAGTAGTCGTCCCCTTTGTTTCCAGCACCTTAGCTAGCTCTTATGGTAGAAGTGTATTTTGTAAGGCATCTGATGAAAGGATGGAAAGGAATTTAACTTCAGGAAAATCCTAACAATTGACTGCAGAGACAAAACTTGCATAGAAGATGTCCATGAAACAACGATGATGATGATAATAATGATTATGTTATTACAGTATTATTGGAAAAATTTTCATTGTAAAACATGAGGGGGTGCTGGTGATAGAGTGGTACCGCTCTTTCCTTCGCAAGCGAGATGTCACGGGTTCGATTCCCGGGCCGGTGGAAGTTGTTTGAACACACTTCCTAGCCCCCATTAGTCCCTGTTCACCTAGCAGTAAAGAAGGTACCTGTTGTAAGTCGAAAGTTGCTAATTCGTATTCAGGGACAAGTTGTTGGAGCTTCCAATAACTTGATGACACAAACCATTGACTCTTCAGGCTTCTACGCCCTTGACTCTTCAGGCTTCTACGCCCTTAACTCATGAGACATAAGGGCAAGCATGAACTTAGCATGCTTCCCTGTTGGGCACTGTAAATGCTTCTGTGCTTCACCTTACACAAGGATGTAGGGGAGTGCCCAATAATAAAAAATAAAAAAATAAATAAATAAAAAATAAATAAATAAAATAAAATTGTAAAACATGGTAAAGTTAGTAGATTTTGAATATAAATATAGAAATAAGATATACCTGGGCATTATTGTATTATTTCAGGTATACTCACGTGTGAGGCACGTGATCCACCTTCAGAACACATTGTTGCAGCTTTTGATAAAGTGTCCGGGCTACTCTCCACCTTTGGCAGTGTTTGATCTGGACACATCTTCAGCACTGCCATCATTCACAATAACCAGCTCAAAGAAAGGAAAAAGGGGAAGAAAGTCAAAATCTGGGAAAGGGTGAGTTTATGTTCTAGTAAGAAGGATCTCAGCATCTCAAAGAGAAATGATAAAAATAGATGCAACTGAGATTGAGTATTGACTTAATTACTTGCACATGGGGTGGGTGTGAGATTGGTAGCCATTCCTTTTGTCAAAGAAAACAGATTCTCATGGGAACTTTTCTCTGTTTTCTGAATATTTTGGGTTTTAGATTGACCTTTCTCTTAATTAAGTTAAAAGTTATGAGGGCTGTCTGTATTTTTCAATTCCATCAGTTAGTCACTTATTATAACCCCATTGATACCACAATAAAGATCCATTTTTAGGGACACACTCTATAAGCTATACTGTAAACTGTTTTACTCAATAGTTCTGTTTTTATTTGTAAACCTATGCTTAAGAAAGCTTTTGGAATCATTAATGTCACAAATTTTATTTCTATGAAAAACAGTAAAAGTAAAGGGAAGAACAACAATGGTGAAGCAACACAAGTGGGAGCTACCCAGGCCAACTCACAGCCCACCACACAACCCACCATACAGCCCACAGCCCTAACACAGGGAGAGGACAAGGAAACAGTTAATACTGAGGTTAGTTTATTGTGAAATTTGAAAAGTCTTGAAAAAAAAATAGCGAAAAGCTTAGAAGTCAGTATCAGAACATAATGGCTGTCTCAGTTTCCTGTGCAGAACAGCACTGACAGAGATATACATTTGTGAGCCCAGTAACTACAGTCGGCCCTTAACATTCGCGGGGATTACGTAACAGAGATACCCGTGAATGTTAAAAATCCGTGTACTATTGCTGCCCCCCCCCCCCCTAAAAAATCCCTGGCCCCCCATGTCCTTATTTACCGTATATACCTGTGTGTAGTTCGAGTTTTTAAGACCAAATTATTTGGCAAAAATTGGGGGTCGACCTCTAAACGGGTAATAGTTTCGTTAGGTTGAAAAATATTTACCAGTAACTAGCCAAATCCATGGTATGGTAGCACAGGACGATGGAAAACAAAGTATTCATTTATTAAAGTTAATTTATAGATACTGGACATAAATTTTTGTTCATTACATTTGAAACATCAATCTTTGTTAATTAAATTTGAAACAAGAGAAAACTACGATACTGGATTTTCATTAAAATATTACATCACAAGTATATTTTACCTTAACTGTGACTGAATGAATATATTCTCGGAAATAAATATGGAAATGTAATATTTTTGCTGGAATGACGTACATATTATAGTGGGAAGTGGGATAAAATCATGACGAAAGACTTTCGCTTTCTTTCGTTGTTCAAAATATTTTACCGTAATCGCTTTTCGAATGGTTTTCAGTTAAAAAACTGTTGTACTCGTACTGTATTACAATAATATTCTATCCTATCATTAGCCTTATAATCCCACAACTGAAAACCATTCGAAAAGCGATTACGGTAACATCTTTTGAACGAAAGAAAGCGAAAGTCATTGCTTTCGTCACTTTCCACTGTAATACGTACATCATTTCAGCAAAAATATTACATTTCCATGTTCTCAGAAATAAATGGTAGTTTTGTTGAAACGTAATGTACAGTATTTATTAAAATGCAAAAATAGCTATAAAAACAATTAATACACCCGTAATGTACTGGCTGGCATCTCCACTCGTCCCTGCTCCCGCCAGTCACTCCCTCCGCCTCCTCCCCGCTAGCCACCTCCTCCCCGCTCTATCCCTCCGCCTCCTCCCGCTCTATCCCTCCGCCTCCTCCCGCTCTATCCCTCCGCCTCCTCCCGCTCTATCCCTCCGCCTCCTTCTAACCCACGCCTCCTCCTCCCGCTCTACTCCGCTCTATCCCTCCGCCTCCTCCCGCTCTATCTATCCTCCGCCCGCCTCCCCCGCTCTATCCCTCCGCCTCCTCCACATCGTCACTACTGTTGTATTACAATAATATTCTATCCTAATTGACTTGAATAAATACTACGATACCATATTTCTGAATATTTTCATTAAAATCCATCCAAATCATTTTCCTTGCCATCGGCAGCACCAAACAGCTTCTCCCAGTCCTCTCCTTGAACAGGGGCTAGAGGGTACGTGTTTTTCGAATCGTTTTCAATTAAAAAAATGTTACATCACACTCGTATATTTTACCTAAACTGCGCCTGAATGAATATATTCTTGGAAATAAATAGTAATTTTGCTGAAACGTGATGTATTTCAATGTAAATTAGGATAAAATACATGAAAACAAGAGACTTTACCTAACCTTCCGATGTTCAAGAGATGTTACTCGTTTTTTTAGTAGTTTTCGGTTAAAATACTCTTATATTAGTGATATTCTATTTATACTGTGCTTGATATAATACATTCACGGAATTGTAATATTTTTGCAACTACAATGCTGATGTCAACACAAGTGTGGTTACAGCGAGACTGACTGAGTGAGGGAGAGCTATGTGTGTGTGTGTGAGGTTACGGGAGCGGGCGGTGTCCCGTGCCGAGCGCGAGTTGAATGGCGCGCGATTTGAATGTTCCTCTGGCGGGGCAATCCGCGTATTTGCGAATCCGTGAATGCTAAACCCACGTATGTGAAGGGCCGACTGTATTATTATAAACTGTGATACTGTATTTGTTTGTTATTTCTGTAGGAAGAATTGATTTATTGTGATATGATAACTGATTATTGTCTAGTTCCCAATATATATCTTTATTTGTTTATACCTTATACAGTATTGGTGTAGTCATTCTCATTAAGCACTTACCTTTTTTCTGAGAAAGGTGTCGTCTTCAGTAGACATGACCACGCTGCGGCCATATTTCAGGGAGCTGCATCTGGATGTATTCTGTCTCCTCTTCAGAAAACTGGGACTAGAAACTGATGTGGAGGTGAGTCATATCCTTTTACTGTACAGTAAATGATAGCTATTATGCTTTTCATTATTCTATAGCTTATTTTAGGATCAAAGAACAGTGACAGATTAAGAGAATCACTGTCTTACAGTACTTTACAATTTGCAGCTGAGGTGTGTAGGTACAAGAGAAAAGGAAGAAAGATTGGTGGGATGAGAAGATTACTCATTGTATTGCATCAAAGGAGGCCAAAATTATAAAGGGGAACCTTTTGAACAAACCCAGAAGAAAGAGGAAGAAACAAATTTCAGATTACTTGCTTGAGGATGAGATTAAGAGATGTGGAAATTAAATAAATGGAAGAAATAGACCTGGTGGTGTGGGTGTATTGTGAGAATGTGGAGTGAAAGATTGTTCAAAAGAGTGAATAATTCATAATTGGATGATAGGAAGAAGAGTTAAGACCAAGATGATGGAGAAAATGGCACAATAGAAGCAGTGTTGTGTGTGAGTGGTAGGAGAGCAGGATATTAAGTGGTTTATTGGGATTAATAAATTGATGATGACAGCAAATGAAGTGAAAGCCTGTGTTTGCTTGAAGTTTCAGCTGCTCTGCAATATAGTGTGGAGGTGCCTTAGCATGTGAAAATAAATGTTATACAGTAATACTTATGAATAGTTTGAGACAGTAGTATATATTTGGATAAATTAATGTATGTACAATTGCTGACAAAATTCCCTGGACACTTGGTAGTAAAGTATCTGGCATGAGGATCATTAAGTGAAGGGGATTGAAATTCTAACATATTTTCCAGATATTGTTTTGTTTTCCATATTGTGGTTCTGATATAATATGTGCTAAAAAACAACATTATTAAATATAAACCAGTAGTATGTACAGTATATGACCCAGAAAAGGATGCCAGATGCAGTAAACCCTTGATAACTCGGCATTCGATATCTTGGAATTTTATAAAATTCGGCACGTACAGTAAGTCCTCGTTTAACGTTGTCCCCGATAATGTTGTTTCGCTATAACGTCGCTGTATGTATATTCTGTATGCTGTATTTATATTATGCTATGTATATTATGTATGTGCTCCATTTATGTATTATTTATTTAGCCTAGCTAGTAGCGTGTGGCAATGTATTTATCAATGTCCCACATGCTTAATTAATGTGCCTGGCGACGTATGGAAGCTGCTAATGTATCACTTGCCATACGTCGTCTATAGAGCAGTTGACCAGCGGACAGGCTGAAGAGCGCTACTCCCCTTGTGTACATATCTCTTATCCAGTAAATCGAACCTACAAAATCTATACAGGTGTTTGTGGTCGCTCCTGTATATTGAACTTATTACCCAGAACACGAACAGTCGCTACTCTTTAGATGCCAATAATTCGGTTAACTTCCCGACGACTCAATATAAAGTCGTCATGGACTACATTTTACGGCGCACCACCCTCTCTCGTCTTGCTGCGCTACACTCTTTCATCTTGGCGCGCTACCTCTCACTTGCGGAACATCACAGCGTGCCCAAGTGTTGTCAGTCTTTCTTAGGCTTCCACAGCGTCCATGCGTGTTTAAGTGTTTTTGCTCTTAATACTGTACTGTACTCTAACCATTCAAAATGGCTTCTAAGCACCCATCAGGTGCTAGTGTTGTGAAGAAGCAACACGAGACCATTAGCTTCCTACAAAAATGGAGGTTTTAAACCAGGAGGAGGAGCCACCCGCCGGGTTTCGGTGACTCGCCACCCTCTTCCTCCTCTCTCGCCCTACTCCTCCGCTCCACTACCCACCACACACTCGCTCCACCACCTCCGTCCGTCAGTGAGTATAATACAAAATGGTTTAGTTTATTTATATGCTGACAAAATATTTGTTTGTAATTCCCTGTAAAATGGCTGGCAAGCATAAAAGTGAGAGTTCTTGTGGAGCTGAGAAGAAAAAGAGACACCCATTTTAGAATTTCTATGTACAGTATTATTTTCGCCTTTTCGACTTACGACCGATTCAACTTACGACCTGGTCGTTGGGACGGAACCCCATTGTAAGTCGAGGAAAGACTGTATATGGGTTGATAATTTTTTATTGTTGTATTTTTAGGGGGGGGGATAGTTCGGCAAGGCCAGCTCCCCATATATGCCGAGTTATCAAAGTTTTACTGTAATGCCAAGTGCTTAGGGAATTTTGTCTGTAACTGTACAGTAATTTATATATATTTTCTTGGTTTCAGGATCGCAGTCGATTATCATTATCAGAAGCTGAGTTTCTACTGACAGATCTCAACTTCAAACTCACACATGTTTTTAGAAATGGAAACAAACGAGCATCAGTCCTTGGCCATGGATCAGAGAAGAGTGAGTCATTTTATGGATCTCTTGTATTACCCCTAATATTCTGGGGGGTTCTTTCATTATGGTCCTCTTCATAGCTCTGGGTCCTGTTCCCTTCACTCCTTTTAAAACAAGAAGGAATAAATTGGGAGACTGATTCTGAAGACTTGTTTTAAACCTTTAAATAACAGTGACTGGGATTAATTCATGAATTAGTTTTTGTTATTATCATAACCATGCCCCTTAAAGGAATCTGTAGACACATCACTACATAAGGTGGAGGGCTATGAATTGTGTCATCACATAGCCTGTGTGCACCACTCTTGTATCACCACCGTGAAACATATGAGGCACTCTGGAACACCGACGTATCAACCAATCCAAGAAGAAAATGAGATTCTCTTCCCATTGTATTGCCCAGATGAATCTTAGTCATGTTAGTTGGGCTGGGATGGGAAATGTCTTTGGAGCATGGATAAAATCAAATTATAAAACATAGGAATTTCAGCATAGGTGGAACTAGACTTTAAAATTGTGTTTAATAATGTTATATCACCTCAGGTATTGGTTACTCACACCTTGACCTCTTCACACCTGCCGAGGTCGCTCAGCGTGCTTTTCGGTTCCTCAAGCCAGTGTGTGTTCACATGGAATCAATTAATGATTTCTTTCAGGTTTGTATTACTTATTTCTTTCATTTGCTCATGATTGTTTTCCCACTTTCAAATCTTTTCCTACTGCAGTAAACTTTAGGATCCAGAGGCTTATGTAATATGGATACTGTACAGTAATTATGTAAAGTGAATACTATCACGAACATATGTCCAAGGAGTGTTTGTAGTAAACCATAGTACAGGCAGTTCCCTGGTTATGAACGAGTTCCTAGGGACGTTCTTTAGTTGAAACACATCTTATACATATAAAGTGATCCCTCGGTTAACGAACACAATTCATTCCAGAAGGTTGTTCGTTAACCGAAACCATTTTTTCAATGGGATTTTGGGTAATTGGTTCCAGCTCACCGGAAATTACATACAAACTAAAAATAAATGCAGTAAAGTACACTTACTTTGAGGTGTGCATGTAGAAGGCTCCTGGTTGATGATGATGATGATGGGAATTAGAATGGGGGTGGAGGAGAAGGGAGAAGAGAAGGCATTGGGGTGGAAGAGAAGTCACCCCATGCTGCCATTTCACCCATAAAATTTAAGTTCACTTGCTGTAATTCAAGATTATTTTCTTTAAATCAACACTGCACTGCATTATATATTGTCAATTTGTAAAATACACTTCAGAATGACCAATAATTGTACTGTAAAAATGTAAAAATAGTTTATGTTCAAGAGAGTCTCAAGCAAGATGCTTCCTCCACAGAGCAGAGACACAAAGCGACGCCATTCTGGGGAGTCAAGTGGCTGTTTGGCGTGCTAAAAACTAGTTCCCTGTACTTCAGTTATGTTAAATATTTGTTAAAATGACTAAAAATTTTAATATAAGACTTGGAAAATTATTGAATAGTACAACCTTCTTGATATTTACTCAAATGGTAACGAATTTAAGCCCTAAAACCGATTACTGTATTGGCGGACTTATACTACAGCTGGTGAGCAGCCGAAAGCAGGCGAAAACATGTTGGGAAAAATTCGTAAGGAATTCGTTAACCGAAGTGAAGAATCTTATGGAAGGTAATTCGTTAACCGAAATTTTGTTAATCGAGGCGTTCGTTAACCGAGGAATCACTGTACTGTACTGTACTGTATTCACAGAATAATGTTTAAAATCCCACTACGTACATCATAGCCTGAACCCATATATACATCTAAAATCCCTTAATTTAAGAGAAAAGAAAAAATAGAATGACTAAATACAGTAAATGAAAGTAAAAAATAAGCCATCAGGTAAATAAAATACGGTAAATTTAAAGTTTAACCCCGGTCGTATTGGCGGATTTTCGTGACCCAGGGATGTCTTGTACTTGTGTCAATTTAGCTTTATTACACTATTAGTTTTCCCAATACTCTACCACTACACTCACTTAATTCATTATTCTCTAACACTCATAAAGTTATTAAGTCTACAAATAAGCTTTCATTGTATCATCATTCTCCTACAATCACCATATAACAAACTCCTCAAACTCATGTGAGGACAAGTAAACTCATCACTCACACCGTCATTCAATCTGTTTCATGATTGTCCAATTTCTTCTCATTTACTCTTACAGTATGTAATATGTTGAGAATTATAAAAAAGAAAATTTAGGATGACAATGACTCATCAGGGATTGAGTATGGGCTAAAGCAGAACAGGAATTTAGACTGCTCTTATCTTTAGTAAAAAAAAAAAAAAAGAAAGAAAGACATACTTTATTGTACAGTTGTGAACAAAATAATTCAGCAGGAAGGAAGGTCATTTCTGGGAGGGCAATGATAGGTGGAGATTTAGCAATGTTGCATAGAAATGGCAATTAAAAGTGCAATTTTTTTGGGCAGCTTAAAAGGATTTTTTTTTTAATTTAATTATGAGGCAGGCACAGATTACTCTAACAATATGCTGTAATTAATTTAATACACTAAAAAACACAAAAATGGATTAAAAATTTAATGTTTGAGGAGGATTTTCACCTCTACTTTGATGAAATATTGCTAAGTCTGTACCTACACCCCTGTCCTCCCATAAACTTCTTCCTTCTCTGCTGAATTCTTTTTGTCCACAACTGTACCATGTAAGGTGTTTGGAGTCAATACCAGCATAAACTCTCCCTCATTTGTTGTATTAGTAACTTACTGGGTGTGTTCTGCCGTAGTTTCCCTCACCTACAATAAGGCTGTTTCCCACATCCACAAAGAGGCCCTCAGATATTATCTCTAGTTTACTTCATACACTACCCAAACAACACTTGATGATCACTAACTGAAGATATTCTTTTTCTTTTTCTTTCCCTTTTTATCTTGACTCTTACTTCACTTTTTACCAGAGTAATAACCTTTCTCATAATTAAATTTATATCAAACCTTATGCACTTGTCATCTTACTTTTCTCAACAGAATTTAACAAACCTTTATATTCCCAATGATCTCCAATTTGAAGGTGATCTTATTTTGTTATCTTGATTCTTATTTAATTTTTATTAAATTTATGGCTTATTAATTGTATACTAAAGGCTTGACATCTATAACAGAAATTCATATATATTATTAGAAGGCATAAAGTCTTCTGGTAGGGCAACTTTCACTACAATGGTCACAATTACTGTATGTTGTATTCACAGAATATGATTGCTGATAATGATGGTATAATGGATGCCCCGGGAATGTTCAGCGAGAAAACATGCCCCCTGATTAAGGTCAACACACTGCTCTTTACAACACTGTCTATTTTCCTCTCCTGGAATGGTCTTCAGCTGGAAGAGAACAAAGAAACACTCACAGGTGAACATTTGCTACTTATGTCTGGTTCTGTTTTCTAATACAGCATTGGAATTGTGGAATTCTGATGTTAAATTTGTTGGTATATAATGTGAAGAATTTTTTATTAATTTCCAAGTGACAGCTGTTTGTAAGCCTACCTTCACTCTAACTTAGAAATAGGTACTAAATTACATGTAGCATTGTATGTGTACATGAGCTTGCTGAGTATGCATGCAGGTGCGTGTGTACATACTTTTTTGAGTGCATGTGTTTGGTCATGTCTCTGTTACCTGCTGTTGTTGGCAATTACTGGGCCTGCAATGGCTCCAGAATGTACCTAAACATACACCAGTGTTGAAGTTCATTTGCATTGAAATTTCTCACAACTGTACATACCTGATTGAATAACTTAACATTTGCTGAAACAAATACAGTTACCCATTTAAAGTACTGTACCATATTTTTCAGAGGTTCTGCATACCATTGCCAAGAAACTAGAGGGTGATGTCAAGGACATGGAAGAAGAAGAACTGGTATCCACAGTTTTCCGATATATCTCAAATTTCCATGAGTCTATTGTCAGCATACACACTGCATCAATCCTCGTACAGACATTGGTCGCCATTACAGCTCTTCCACGGCATGAAGATTTCAGTGAAAGTTTTGGTAAGTATTACAAAACTAATAGTAGAAGGGATTGTAAGCCTGAGGTGATATTCCTCCTGCCTACACATCCAGTAAACTGGATTCTGAGTTTGTTTCATAGCACTTGTAAAAATAAAACTTACCCAGAATAGTTTTTAGAATCTGTTATTTGATGCCAATTGTGTACTGTATAATCCTAATGTACATTTTGGTCACAGATTCATAGATTATTGTTTGTTGTTAACCAGTCAGTTTCTGGTTATTTAAAACTCCCCATCTGTTGCAGACTTGCAATGTTTTAATCTTATTACAGACATCCCTTAATTTATAAAGGATCATTTTGAAAATATTCCTAGTTATGAATTAAAAAAATTAAGAAACAAATTCCAATATAACCCTCTCGTGGTCTTTTGGCGCAAATTGTGTTGCTAAGCACTCCCGTGATGGTGCAACCCCTCCCGCTCATCCATATCTCACATTGAGAGCCCCCTTTCCTAAAGCAGAAATGCAGAAACAGTGGACTGACTCTATAAGCCAACTAAGTTCCTGCATACTTGTTTAGTTCTTGATGTAGTTACTGTCTGATGTGTTTACTTATGCCCTGTCATGGTGCACGAACATTCTTTACTGAATATACTGAACAATATACTGTAAAATTATGTTTTTTATTCAGTGACAATAATTGAAGAGTTGTTGAAGAGAGATTGGTACACCACTGGTGGGGTGAAGGAGAAGGGAGCTGTCTACAACCAGTATGTTCACAACCTTCTCCAGGTAATTTATTTATTTATTTATTTATTTATTTTTATTTTTTTACAGCTGTGTTCGTCCATTCTATGACTGCCTCACTGAGAAAACTTTATGCCTGGCTCATGTCACTCACTCAGTCTGCACTAACCTGCCTTTACTATTTCCACACGAACCTGGCCCGTAAGCTGCAAATAGCTGATTGGTTCATAGAAAATGTTCGTGTACCGGTAGCTGTCCATTTATTCAAACTAAGTATGTTCACAATTGGTAAGCGACCTGTTATTCTCTAAAATAATGTTAAATATCAGGAATATCAAAATGCAAACGATTTCAAGGCATTAGCGCTTCAGAGAGAATGTTAGAAAATTTTTAATATTTATCACACTTCGACGGGATGATCAGTGAAAGATCAGCTGGACACTTTACTCGTACTGCCAGTACGGTAGAGCTCGCATTAGAATATTATGACATACAAATTATAATTATACCTCTTCCATCATTGGCCAAGATTTTCTTTCATTTGTGCCAAATTTCTTGATACTTGATGACATAGGATGAAAATGTTAAACCTCTACATCGCTTCTTAATACTTCATAGCGTATATTATTACTTAAATCTTGTTTCAATGTAGTATTTAAGATGGGGAGATACCAAGTTAGTGGATAAAATATTTAATAATCTGTTCGTGGGTGTGAGAAATGTTTTTGTTGGTTTAGTGCCATAGCGCTGACATCATTTGACAGTTGAGAGTTAACGTCCGAGTGAAATTCCTGCCAGGTTCAGTGGCTGTTCTCCTGAGCGTTTTACCCCCCCCCCCCAGACTGTGCATATTTATATTGAGTTTTGTCAGTTATACAAATGATTTGGGATATATCCAGCCATACAAACTGTACTTCATTACCTTTTGTGCTATTTGTTTAGTATCATTTGTTTCTGTTTGCTTTATGTTTTGTACAAAACAAAGAAATAATGAAAAGACTTCATTTGAAAGCGAATTTCATCTTTGACTTCAACCTTTTGTGATAAATATTAAAAATTTTCTAACATCCTCTCTGAAGTGCTAATGTCTTGAAATCATTTGCATTTTGATATTCCTGATATTTAACATTATTTTAGAGAATAACAGGTCGCTTACCAATTGTGAACATATCTAGATTGAATAAATGGACAGCTTCACGAACATTTTCTATGAACCAATTAGCTATTTTTATAGAAGAGGGGCATGGCTTACGGGCCAAGTTAGTGTGGAAATACTATTGTATACTGATGCAGTTTAAGACCAAATTTTGATCATACATTTTTTCTGTGAGATTTAATTTATTCTATAATCCTAATTCTGAATCTTTGCCAGCAAATTAGGTTTTTGCAAGCCAGTGTATACATGATTATATTGTACACATAGCTGATCAGCCAATTGCTAACCCAGTGTCACCCACACACTGGATTTTCAAACCCATGGTCTCTTGGTTGCCAGCTCCACTATGATCACAAGCACACCATTGCAAAATATTTTAAACTTGCAAATAAGTTTTTACTTAAAATTCTTGTGAAGTTGAAATATTCAACATTAATGTAATTATTGATTATACTATATATGATGGTAGAAGGGACTACACATCACCATAAGTCATTATTTGACCTGATACCTTGGGATTATTTCCATCTGTTGCATCATTTAATAGTAAGATGACCTTATGACTACAGGCTGAAGAATTGTAAAATCTTTTTTACAGTATTGTGCTGTTTTTATTATCTCACCCTACTGTACTGTGCTTAGGAATTATTGTACAAACAAGTATTATAGCAGTTTGTTCTGCCAGTGTGTACAGTATGTTAGTTCCAAGTTGTAATGTCTTTTGACTTTGTAAGATTCTCCTTTCTATTATTCAGTACATGGGTTATAAATATCTTATTGCAAAATACCTCATCACTTCAAAACAATAATATTATATAAAATTTTATTCACTCTTTTTATGAATTACAGTAGAAAACATGATATATATTTTTTCCATTACAGGAGTACCTGAGACAGAGCAAGAATCCATTGTCACTGATAGAAAAAATTTGTAAAACTGCCATAAAAGAATTTCATGGTGCTTCTGGACGCGATCCTCAGTCGGACACTTTCCCAACCTTGAATAAGTATGAGAAAATAGGTTCTCCAGTCACTCATATGCATTGATGGTTCCTGTATGGCCATCACATTACACTTTTAATACTGTACATCTTTTACCACCTCATTATTCCATCTCCTTCATCCACTTTTTCTTCCTCTTCTTCTGAATAAAACACACCTTTTCCCAGTCTTACACTGACTATTATTTTCTCATTTCCTTTATATCATCTTTGCAAATCCTACTTACACTTTTTTCACTTCCACATCTAATTTTTGTACAGGGCGTCCTCGTTATATGTTGTACTGATATACGTCATTTAATATATGCCCCTAACAAAAATAGGAAGAATTTTTCATTATACAGTACAGTATATCATTTATTTCACATATACGATGTCCGAATCATCGACTATATTATACCGAGTCTGTGTGTATCCAATTATGATGCATAATGGTAAAAACGTCTAATACAGTACTGTATAGTGTAAAAAAATCATAATAAGTAATAAAAGTGTTCACCAATTACACTTCAGGGTGCTATCATTCTGCCAAATTCTGAAATAGATATGCTAGGCCTCACCATTTCCTCTAATACGAGGTCTGATCAAAAAGTATCCGACCTTTAGCAGGTGAAAAAAAAAAAGCCTTCTTTGGCCTTGGTGATGCCGGTGACTTCCATTGTGATGACTGAGCTTTTGTTTCTGGGTCGTATCCATACACCCAAGACTTATTGCCAGTTATTATACACCCAAGATTCATCGCCAGGTTCGGAGCAAGGTGAAGCTCGTGCTGACTGTTTTTTTCAACTACCAGGGTGTTGTTTATAACGAGTACGCTCCAGAAGGCCAAACAATCAATAAAGAGTACTACCGGGGAGTTCTCCATCGCCTACGGGATGCAGTTCGTCGCAAGAGACGAGAGTTGTGGGAGGCGGAGGACTGCCATTTCCACTACGACAATGCTCCAGCCCACTCATCCCATCTTGTCCAGGATTTTTTGGCCAAACACAGGATCACACAGGTCCGACAGGCTCCCTACTCTTTTGATATGGCTCCCTGCGACTTTTGGCTGTTTTCTAAAATTAAGATGCCGCTGAAGGGTTCGAGATTTGAGGACACAAATGAGATAAAGAAAAATGCAACGGAGATCATGTTGGCGATCTCAAAAACTGACTTTACAAAATGTTTCCAGCAATGGAAGGACTGCTGGGCTAAGTGTGTTGAGTCCCAAGGGGCCTACTTTGAAGGGGATTAAAGTCTGAACTCAGTAAGTAAGCTTGTTTTTTTTTTCGCCTGCTAAAGGTCGGATACTTTTCGATCAGACCTCGTATGTCATGGAAGTCACACGTCCTCAATATTGCTAAGGCTGCCTCCCGAAAGTTGGGAATGCTGTATAGATGCCGGAGCTACTTCACTCCTGAGCAGTTGCTTCAAGTTATATAAGAGACTCATTCCTCCTAACTTGGAGTACTGCTCTCATATCTGGGGGTGGCTCTTCTTCTGTCCAACTGTTAGATAGGGTGGATTCAGAGGCATTTCGTCTTATTAACTCTCCTCCTTTAGTTGACAATCTTTCTTCCCTTTCTCTTCGCCGCAATGTTGCTTCACTTTCTCTCTTTTACAGGTACTGTAACGGGCAATGTTCGGTGGATTTGGCATCCTGTGTACTGCCAGCAAGGCCTTGGGCTCGTAGCACACATCTTGCCCGCGGTGCCCACTGTTTCTCTGTGGATGTCAGTCACACTAGAATAACCTGTTATTGTATATCCTTCTTTCCTCACACAGCCAAACTGTGGAATGCTCTGCCTTCTTCAGTGTTTCCATACTTATACAATCTGTCTCACTTTAAAAAGCTGGTTTTCCAGCATCTTTGTGGTGTAGATTAATATAACATTTTTATTTTCTATTTTTATTTCTTTCTACAATTTTTTTTTGCCACCAAGGCCCCGTTGTGGGTCATTCGACCTGTACCCAGGTGGGCTAATTCCCGTAAAAAAAAAGTTAAGTTTCTACCACACCAAAATAAATCAGTCACCCTCAACACGACTGCACTCTAATGTCACATTGTTATATGTAAGTTACCACAGAATTTGCAGAGTCAATATCTCAGTGTGCTAATGTGCCTTGTGAATAAAGAACATACTGTATACTGTAGAGAAATCTAAAGACATTAAAGAAAAAATTAAGAGAGTTGGGGTATATTCTGTGTGGGAGATGGAGTGTATCTGAGAGTAGCAGGCAGTTTGCCAACACATCATGACTCGCCAGACTACCGTATACTGTACCTCACCGAGGACATTTCACACAAGTGTTCCAACACAAAAAAAAATTAAGGAGGTTTTGCATGTAAAGAAATAGTGGAAAGAAAGTACAATACATCCTGAGTTTTCAAGGGCTTTACTGTGCATGTACATGTTGAAATGCATATACGGTACCTCTAATTACATTAATTCTTTTGGGAAGAATTTCTCTTTATAAAACGTTTCACTCTAAGTCACGTTTATCTGGAACGCATCCCCGACATAAAATGAAGACTCCTTGTATTCTGTATATCTACTTAATCCCACACTAATCTCAAGAAATTCATTTTTGGTTAGTTTTGATATGCCCCTTCCTCTCATATCCTGAGTCCATTGTGTGCGTTAAGTATTTCCCTTGTACATATCCATAGATACCTTCTGTGACATTGTTCTATCTCTCTCTCTATCTTTCCATCTGTTACTTTTTTTTTTGTCCAGTGATCTGTTATTATAAGATCAAAATAATCAAATCATTTGTGATATATTTTAGAACTTTACCCAAACTCTGTGCTGAAGCTTTACTTTCTTGATCTTATTTGTTTTTTAGAGGCACCCTAGGTGTATACTTCCGCTGTATGATATCCTTCCTAGTGAGCAGCACAAAACAGTCTCTCTCGGCCATAGGCACAGCATCAGCAGACGATAAACTGAAGTGTCTGTTGGTCTGGAACACAGCTATCAACATCTTCCATACCCTAATCATAATCCTCAAGAAGAATAACACCAAACATTTATTGATTTCTTGCCTCAAGGTCAGTCGTTGTGTTCATATCCTTACTTATATAATTTGCTAAATATGGCCAAATAATAATGTAATCCTTGTACAGTATATGAATTTCATTGTTTATCTTTGTTAATATGTGTGTTGGAGGGGTTATATTACATTGTTATATTCCTTGGCTACAGAATAGTTATCAAGAATTATCTGTATTTTGAATGAGAATATGTTAATAATTAATTTGTTTTTCATCTTCTCTGGGATTTTTTTCCAGTATTCCCGTTCATTCGTGGACTTGTTCTTGCGCAGCGCCATGCCTCTGATGGACTCCTGTCTGCGTCAACATAATAAAGAGGTGATGACCATTTTCAGTAGCCTTCAAGTGTCAACGAGGCTCTTGCAGAATGTCTGTACTCACTCCAAGGTAAGAAAGACACAGATACATGACAACTGGACTGACAGTGTAAAGTTTTGCTCTGTTTTCCTGGAAAACATGAATGACAGCCATCTAGGGAAACATGAATGACAGCCATCTAGGGAAACATGAATGACAGCCAATTCAGGAAAACATCAATGACAACCAATCCAGGAAAACATCAATGACAGCCAATACAGGAAATCATAAATGACAGCCAATACAGGAAAACATCAATGACAGCCAATATAGAGAAACATCAATGACAGTCAATACAGGAAAACATAAATGACAGCCAATACAGGAAAACATAAATGACAGCCAATACAGGGAAACAATTAAGGATATTTGAATCACATCTCTTGAGGAGGACACATTGATATATTGTTTCTACAGCTTCCTCTCTAAGATATTTCATGATTTCTTCTTAAGACATTCATTCTCTAAGCACATGTACTGTATTCTATAGATACTGTATCTCTCAAGAATTGCAGGCCTTTCATGTTTTCTCTATCTTTTTGGAATACATGTACTGTACACTGCTTATAAAATTAAAGTGAAAGAATCTATATTTTGATCATATACAGTTACACTTTTTGTATTGTTACAGGTCAATCAAGATATAAGTTTGACCCGTTATGTCCCTCTGGTTAAGAAGTCATTGGAAATGTTGGTGTACCGGGTCAAGGCGATGTTGGCACGAAATAAATGCTCCAGTGCTTTCTGGATGGGCAACTTGAAGAACAGGGACTTACAAGGAGAGGAAATACTGTCTCTGGTAAGGAAGCAGTTGATGATGCAAAGAGGCAAAGTAACTGGGGCTTCAATTATTTTTGTACAGTACTGCTATAATTTTGTCTGGTGCCAGATGTCTTGTTGGTTTTATATACAGTAAGTCCTCGCTTAACTTCTTGGTTCTGTTCCTGAAAACTGCAAAATTAACGAAATAAATTTTCCCCATAAGAAATAGATAAAATACGGGAGTTACATTCCTGAGCCTCCCTTTGCCCCCATGAAAAACAGCCACTTGACTCGCCCAGAATGGCTTCAACTTTTGTCCCTGCTCAGTGGAGGAAGCATCTTGCTTGAGACTCTCTTGAACATAAACTATTTTTATGTTTTTACAGTACAGTAATGGTCATTCTGAAGTTTATTTTACATATTGACAATCTTTAATGCAGTGCAGTGTTGATTTAAAGAAAATTATCTTGAATTACACCAAGTGAACTAAAATTTTATGGGTGAAATGGCGACATGAAGCATGGGGTGACTTCTCTTCCATCCCAATGCCTTCTCTTCTCCTCCACCCCCATTCTAATTCCCATCATCATCATCATCAACCAGGAGCCTTCTATATGCACACCTCAAAGTAAGTGTACTTTACTGCATTTATTTTTAGTTTGTATGTAATTTTTGGTGAGCTGGAACCAATTACCCAAAACCCCATTGAAACAATGGTTTTGGTTAACGAAATTTTCGGTTTACGAACGACCTTCTGGAACGAATTGTGTTCGTTAACCGAGGGACCACTGTACAGTCGGCCCTTAACATATTTGGGTTTATAATACACGGATTTGCAAATACGCGGATTGCCCCGCCGGAGGAATATTCTGTACATTGAAGTACATTCAAATCGCGCACCATTCAACTCGCGGGCGGCACCGAACACGGGACACCGCCCGCTCCCGCAACCTCACACACACACGCATAGCTCTCCCTCACTCAGTCAGTCTCGCTGTAACCACGCTTGTGTTGACATCAGCATTGTAGTTGCAAAAATATTACATTTCCGTGAATTTATTATATCAAGCACAGTATGAATAGAATATCACTAATATAAGAGTATTTTAACCGAAAACTACTAAAAAAACGAGTAACATATCTTGAACATCGGAAGGCTAGGTAAAGTCTTTTGTTTTCATGTAGTTTATCCTAATTTACATTGAAATGCATTACTTTTCAGCAAAAGTACTATTTATTTCTGAGAATGTGGAAATGTAATATTTTGCTGAAATGGCGTACGTATTACAGTGGAAAGTGACGAAAGCAATGACTCGCTTTCTTTCGTTCAAAAGATGTTACCGTAATCGCTTTTCAAATGGTTTTCAGTTAAAAAACTGTTGTATTACAATAATATTCTATCCTAATTCACTTGTGATGCAACGGTTTTTTTAACTGAAAACCATTCGAAAAGCGATTACGGTAACATCTTTTGAACGAAAGAAAGCGAAAGTCATTGTTTTCGTCACTTTCCACTGTAATACGTACGTCATTTCAGCAAAAATATTACATTTCCGTGAATGTAGTATATCAAGCACAGTATGAATATAATATCATTGTAATATAACAGTATTTTAACCGAAAACTATTAAAAAAACGAGTAACATCTCTTGAACATTGGAAGGTTAGGTAAAGTCTTTTGTTTTCGTCATGTATTTTATCCTATTTTACATTGAAATACATCACGTCTCAGCAAAACTACTATTTATTTCTGAAAATATATTCATTCAGGTACAGTTTAGGTAAAATATACATGTGCTGTAACATTTTTTTAAGTGAAAACGATTCGAAAAACGCGTACCCACTAGCCCTGTTCAAGGAGAAGACTGGGAGGAGCTGTTTGGTGCTTAAGACGATGACATACACGGTCCACGGGCTGTAATATAGACGTAGTGTTGGGAGGAAGGAAGACCACTTTTACGTTGGGGTGACGATCTAACAGTAGGGGCGAGTGTCCTGGTGTGTTGTCCAGCAGCAACAAATCTTGAATGGCACATTCTGTCGCTCACAGAATTTCTTTACATCGGGAACAAAACAGTCATCAAACCAGGAGAGGGACAGTGTAGAGAACATCCACGCCTTATGTGCGGTCAGCCAGTGGACATTTAGCTTGGTCATGTCCATGGTTTTGTAGGCGTGCGGCTTGCGTGCTGTGTGGATCACTGATAACTTGAGCTTACAGGTACCGGAGGCATTGGTGGTAAACAGGACGGTGATGCGTTCCTTCTGCATCTTCCGGCCCCGAATCCTGCTGGCATTCTTTACAACGAATGACTTGGAAGGTAGCTTTTTCCAGAAAAGACCAGATTCGTCCATGTTAAACACCTGGTCGTCACTGTACTGTCCTTCCTCCATAATCTCATGTAAAAACGGAGGAAATTCCCTAGCCGCAGCACGGTCAGCACTCGCTTCTTCACCACCAATGTTTATATTGGTGATCTTGTTCCGGATCTTAAACCTCTGTAACCACCCAGAGGAAGCATTAAAGGGTTTGGGCTCTGTAATTCCCATCTTTCGTGCCACTGCGATGTACAGTTCACGTGCGTAGTCCTTAACAGAGCGCGTGTCGACCGCCATGTTCCGTCGCTCCTGACGCACCAAGTACCTCACAAGTAATTTTTCTGTCTTGAGAAGCACCTGGTTGTGAAAATACTTGATCATAGAAGCACCTGTAGACATTGTGATCTTCATGTGCTCCTTTATCTTGGCTGCATCCTTCTTTATTGTTCGAATCGTAGATTCATTCACACCATGCTGGCGTGCCAAATCAACCTGCCTTGTTCCTTTCTCCAACTCTTGGATGATGGTATACTTCACCTCGTAGCTTAAGGAACGTCGTGTCTTCTTTGGCTTAGTGCCGCTGGGTCCAGGTAAGGAAAGGTTTCTCTCTGGGGGTGGTGGTCCGGCGGAAGCCATTTTACGGAACAATGGATGCACGTTTACACGGTGTGGCCTTGAGGGATGAAACTGCCGCGGCTAGGTCAAGCGTCGTCTTTCCTCCCTCCCTCCCTCCCCCGGGTGGACACGTCATAATACTTTAAGCCAATTACAGCTAGCAGCAGAGGGGGGTAGGGATGCATGGCCAATCACAGTCCGATACGTCATATGACGTCAATGATAACGCAACAAAGACACACACTGCGCAACCTTACCGCGCGGCTTGCCCAAGCGGAGGGAGGAGGAGGAGGGAGAGGCGAGGAGCGCAGGCAGGCGGGCGGGTGGCGGGTGGGGCGAATCTAAAAATAGCGTCGTGCCGGACACTCTCCGCGTAATGGGGTTCACGTACCGCGTAATGTGAGCACGTTAGGTTCTGGCAAGGCACAAGGACACTAAAAGCAGTTCTAGACTCTGTTATATTTCACACAAAGCCTGTTCATCGAGCTGATGGCGCTGTGAACCTCATTGGCAAACTGCCTGTGCCTCTTATGTGGTGTCAGTAGCATTTTACCGAATCCAGCTGGTATGAAACGCGAGGTACATATATATACTTCATTTTTAGTCCATATAACTCGCGGACTTTGAACATATAATCAGCGACCTCACCAGCAAGGAATCGAACCCTCGACCTACTGGGTGGGACTAGGGAACGCTTACCGGCTAGGCCACAAGGACACTAAAAGCAGTTCTAGACTCTGTTATATTTCACACAAAGCGATATATATATCGCACTTGATAGATACATTTGTTGTAAAAGTCCTGTAGGCATTCATTAAGTCCTTATTTTTTACGTATATAATTTGGGTGGAATCAAAGGCATTTTGTCTTATTGACTCTCCTCCTTCAGTTGATAATCTTTCTTCACTTTCTCTTCACTGCAATGTTGCTTCACTCTCTCTCTCTTACAGGTACTTTAACGGGCAATGTTCGATGGATTTGGCATCCTGTGTACCGCTGGCAAGGCCATGGGCTCGTAACACTCGTCTTGCCCACTGTGCTCACCGTATCTTTGTGGATGTCGATCACACTGGAATAACCCGTTACAGTACATCCTTCTTTCCTCACACAGCTAAAACTGTGGAATGCTCTGCCTTCTTCAGTGTTACCCTACTCTTACAACCTGTCTCACTTCAAAAAGCTAGTTTTCCGGCATCTTCGTGGTGTAGATTAAGTTACAGGTACTTGTAATCCTTTTCTTTTCTATTTTTTATTTCTTTTTACTCTTATTTTTTCGCTCCCTACCCTAGGCCCCGTTGTGGGTTGATGACCTGTGCCCGGGTGGGCTATTCCCGTAAAAAGGAGGGGGGGGGTGCATTTTTGCATGAAGATAGACCTTGAAATATTAGCAGAATATTCAGTAGTTTTTGTTATCCTTTAAGTTATCTCATCTTTGTTATAAGATGGGAAATTAATTTACTGTACTGTAATAGTAATGTAAAAATGTGTATGTACATGTATTTTACAGTCAGGTACAGAAGCTAACCAAGAGGAGGAAGGCAATGAAGAAGAGGAAGAGGAGGAGTTGGAGGATATCAATGATGACCAGTCTGATGTTGACCTTGATGAGGAAGAGGAAGATGATCGGTCAACTGACTATAGTAATAGTTTTTAGGGTAAGGGAGAAATATGGTGATTCCCTGATGTTATTTTGACTTGGGCGGAAGAGGAGGGAGAGGGTGGCAAGTAAGAAGGGATGCACAGAAGTGTTTCTTAAAATTAGTGTTTCGGTGTAACGGTTTATTTTGCTGAAAAAAGAGAACAGTGTGGTATACAGTACCCTCTTATTGGTGACACTTCAAAGGGAAAGGACTAGAGTTGTTGTTTAGATGAAACACTTATGTGGTCTGGCTATGTACTGTATGCAACATATTACTGTACTTCATACTGATGATGTCACTAAGCTACTCATTGTGACAGCATACATAAGTACAGTACTGTATACTGTAGGAAAATAAGGGAAATCACTAGATTGATATGAATGACACTAAGGCAGGTAACTGAGTTAAAGAATCTCTTTATTTTTTGTGAATGTTAAAGAGATTTGTAAATTATAGATATCTATAATTACCATTCAGCATTGGTCTTAAAATTGGATTTTAAAAAGTAGAATTTCTATGTTATTACAATTAAATAATGATTCATTTGAAAAAGCCAAGTGTTTTGTTACAATGTTCTGCCCCGGTATTTTTTTTTATTTTTATCGATTATCAAAAGAAAACAAAATGAATATATATTGCTATGATATAAAAGTAGTTTTTCTTACAAATCCTATTTCAAAATTTCAGGATATTGTATTTATATTTAGCTATTGTCACCTACTAGAGGTGACCATGCTGAGGGAAGGGGGCCAGTAGCCTGTGAAGGATCCCTCCATTGTTCAATAGGTCCACCACCCTTTGTGTGAAGAAGTATTTCCTTGTGTTCGCTCTGCATGTTAACTTGACGAACATGAAGTTAAGGCCTCTTGAGTTGGTGATGCGTAGCATCACAAAGAAATGTTCCAGGTTCACATCATCCCTCTCAAGATTTTGAATGTCTTAATAAAATGTGCCCTATTGTGTCTTAAGGCTGAAAAAACCCATCATTTTGGAAAAAAAAAATCAAGATTAAGGGTTTCATTCATGAAAATACCTTGTATATTAATAGTAAATATCATATACAAACATAATCTTTCATGTATGTTCTTTTATAGTGTTCTTAGTAACTGCTAAGAGCATTCTGCAAATTACAAAATCATTTCCAGTATTATAAAGAATAATATGTACAGCACATTAAAATTTTGAGAAATTAACCTTCAATTATTTTGTGACTCAGCCCCTTAATAATACAGGTTGTACCTCTCTAGTCCGGCATTCTGTGGTGCGGAAACTCCCGTGGTCCGGAACGATTTTAGTTTGTCCAATAGGTAGATAGGCAGTTTTTTTTTTTACTTATCTGAATTATTATTATTATTACAGGAGTATTAAATTTTTGCCCCTCAGGCCCCAATGTGGGTCAGTGACCTATGCCCGGGTGGGCTAATCCCCTTAAAAAAAAAAAAAAGCCGCGGGAAATTAAGGTTTGTTTACATCCGGCAGTTCGGCTGCTCTCTCTCTCTCTCTGCTTGTCTATACAGAGTACAACATTTAACCCTTCAATATATATGAGCAGTAAATAAGTGTTGCTTTCATATTCTTATGTAGAGTAATGACGATATATTTTCACATGTGCGCACTTACATACGAGCAGTCTCACTTTTTTTTTTACCATTAATGGTTAGCTACTTATATTGTTCCATTTATTAACATTAAATAACATTACAGGTACTTCAAGCAACCATATTCATTTTTTACATTAATTTTACTACAGCTAAACTCAGGGTCTTATTTTCTTCAGTTTTATATGTAGAACCAATCAATCACTGGTTTCGTAAGCTTTAACATAAACAATGCCGGCAGCCGTCTCGTCTCCTCTAATATTCCACGTATTATTAATAAATTGTATTGTTAATTTTGCACACACGTACATTGATTCAATAAAAACAAATTCAGAAACATTAATTAAAATATATATGAACAGTAAATAAGTGTTGCTTTCATATTCTTATGTAAAGTAATGACGATATGTTTTCACGTGTGCGCATGTGCACTTACATATGCGATCTCTCTTTTTCTTTACCATTATCGTTAGCTACTTCTATTGTTCCATTTATTAACATTAAATAACATTACTTAAAACAACCAAATTAATTTTACTACAGCTACAACCAAGGTCTTATTTTCTTCAGTTTTATATGTAGAACCAGTCAGTCACTGGTTTTGTAATCAATGAAAACAATGCTGTGTCATTTCCTCGTGTGTTTTAATATTCTACGTATTATTAATGAATTCTAGTGCTCATTTTGCACACATAAACATTAATTCAATAAAAAAGACATTCAGTAATAAACAACAATGAATCTTTTGTACATAAGAGAAATGACGCTGTTTACACGATTATGCACGTCGTCTGCACGTTGGCTGGCCGTTCAAACCCGTCGAAATTCAAGTTTCCGCCGTCAAAATTTTTATTTATTTATTTTTTTGTGTGTTCCAATAAAATACGTTAAGAATTAAAAACTCGCGAAATTTGAGAAGCTACTATACGACATTTAACCCTTCAATATGTCTTCAAAGAGACCATGACGCAGAGAAAGTGGTGCTAGTGCTTCCAGGCATAAGCACAAGTCACTATCTATCCAGGAAAAGGGTGAATTTCCATGGTCCGGCACCGGTCAGGTCCTGAGGTTGCCGGACTAGAGAGGTACAACCTGTACTGTACTGTACTAGGTGCAAACTGCATCATGTGCTCATTTATTTAAGCCTAATTTACACTACATCACCATGTAACTTTCCTCTTCATATTTTTAATGAATCTAATACACTGTCTATACAGTACTACCGTACGGTATATGATACACAGTATTATGGAGCTAAATAATGCTTTATGTTAAATGAAAATTATTCACCAAATGACATTTTATGTTAAGATTGTTACTCTGACATTGTCAATGAATGTGAATCAAACGGCAGTAAACCATTAATGTACATGGTGGTGACATTCCTGAAAATTACTGGAAAAGAAATCTGTTAAAAAAAAAAATGCTTTGGGCTTATGGGATCATGGGGGTTGGAGGCTAGGCATTCATTAGTTCCTCCTGACTGACTACAGCGAAAGTAGATCTTATCATCAGGTGACCAGGATAGATGTTATCCACTGTAGATGAATGTCCTCATTAGACCACTTATTTTTTTAAGATGCATTTCTTTGTGCTTTCATTGCATTTAAATGAAAAAACCTTCCACTGATATCAAATTTGGCATCAAAAAATAAGGAAGTTAATAACACCTTGTATAAAAGGTTTTTGATGGCAGATGCAGTTTCACTGTACATAGTTATGAAACAATTATGAAACCTAAAAATATTTTGTAGTGACCAAGCTTTGGACTTATCTTTTCCCTTTAGTGCTTGGGGTTCAAGGTTCTGTAAATAAGCATTGGTTCCACTATAAAATCACCCAAGGTGTTCCCCCAGGGAAAAAGAGTCGGTGTGTGTGTGTTTAGCGACCTTTAAACCCTGTAGGACATTTCTCTGGCATTCTCATCCCAAATAAATTAGTTCCTTATACATATAAACTTGCTCTGGTTTATAATATGTATCTCAGATGAGTTTGGCAGCTCTGGGGATACTTGTGTGCTACATTATACTCATGAACTTTTCTTTAAATTTTTCAAACAATTCTTTGCTCGCAGCAAAAGGTGTTTCCTCACTCCTTTCACTTGTAATTGTACTGCAGTCTCTTACTTCGAGTGATCATTCAATTTCTTTTCTTCTCTATGTATTAGTACTGTAGCCAGCCACTGGCACTCTCTTGTGTTTGATCCTCTATCATAGATTAAAGTCTCCCCATCTTGTGCAGAATACTGTAGTAGTGACCAGAAAATGAAAATATAGCTCCTTGAGGTGCAATGACAGAAACACTTGCTCCTGTTCTGCTGCCATCATTACTTAAGGCTCAAAGTTATGGCCTCTAATTTGGAACCTTCACCCTTACCAAGTCTGACCCAAATCTCAATTTCTGAACTAAAGGTAACACTTTCTTTGCACTTGGCTTATTACTCTTTTTGCTACCTTTACTCTCCTTCCTCTTTAAACTCTGGTGAACACATACATTATTTAAAGCAAGTGGTGCACATGACTCACAGATCAATAGCAAAACAGAAATAAGAGCACCATGGTGCATGGATGTTAGGGTGTCGGCATCTTTAGTGCCACGAAGAAGGTAGGGATTGAACATTGTAGGCCCATTAACCTCCAGGCTTAATCATGTATCTAAAAAGGTGGTCACAATTAACTGACTGTATTTAAGCAAAACCACTCTAATTGAGGGTTTACTGCCGACTTATTTATTAGACTAAAGAAAGTTTTGAGGATCCTCAAGTGAGCTCCAGTGAGGTCTTATCTTCAGCCAGGCCTTAATGACTGGGAGGGCCATGACACATTCCATCAAGGCCTGGGTCTTGGAGACTCCCTCCAGTATCTCTGGGAAATAAGCAGAGTAGCTCTCCAGGTACGCGGCCAAAAACACATCTACCCACGTCATCTGTGTAAGATTATCCAGGTTATTATAAATGTCTGTCTCCCTAACTATCAACTTTTATTTATACACATTGTTTTGATAAAGTGTTTTTTTAACTATAGAAATTACCTAAAGTGGTACAGTATTTATGCTGTTATACAGTTTATTAACTCTGTGTATGGGGGTCTCTGTTGAATAAAATTGTCTGGAGTTAGAAAGTGGCATCCCCATAGTGAAGGGGCCAGAAGGATTAAATCTATCCAGATGCCAATGGTAACTACATGAAAACAAACCTGAAGTGTAGCAGTAGTGAGATGGGAGAGGATTTACCACCACACATTATAAGGGTATTATTATCCAGTGTGACCCTACTAAACATGGCAGGTTTTCACTGGGTACTCCAGTTTCCTCCTGTATTAACACTGGACAATATAGGTCATTACAAAGAACAGACCAATTGCTCAAACAGCTCATTTGCTAATAAGTGGTGAAATGTAAACTAAAATGCCAGTGATCTTTGATGGTATTTGTGTATTGATTAATGATCACTAATTGAAGTTATTACTCAATCTAGCTTTAATATACAGGGTATGCAGAACACAAGCAATAGTAAAGGAGATGATATTTGTGGTTGAAACATTGGGAAAGGAAAGACTGGAGGGTTGGGATGATGGGCAGGTGAGATTGAAGTAATGTGGTAAGGTGTATTATATAAATTACTTACAGTATACTGTATTGCTGTATTCTTTGGGAAAACTCTTACATTTAATAATGAATATTAAAAATATAACAACCAGTGTATATGAACATAAAATTGAAACCAAACTTCCCTATTTTGTTTAATAAGTAATACACATCAACAAATGTAAAAAAAAATCATACAACTACATACATCATGGGAGAGGACCCAGCCTTGATCTGTAATACGGCTTTCCAGGATAAGGACAATCTCTAGCAGCCGTTTTCTGGCCTTCTCCAATGAATTATTCTTCAGTGTCTCATCTTGCTTTATCCTAGAGGAGCAAACATAATGATCTTAGTCTGCTGGAGAGTAGTGTGACAATGAGCTCTGTTAACTCCAGACTTGACCAACAGTGGAACAAGTTCATGTACATTCAAGACCCTGTATATGCCCAGTCTCAGTAGTTTCCAACAATGTAAAACAGACAACTGACCAGTAGTGAGCAGACAAGACAAAAAGGATTAAGGTAAGTAAATAAGTAGAGTAGCCATTTCATTTTTCTCACTGTATCAGTATTCAACAGACTTTATCAATAGTAGCCTTTCACTTATTAGTCAATAGGGATGTACAATGAAAGACAAAAGTCGTGTTGTGAAATTTGGTGAAAACATATGCCGAATGGCTAAACTTTTGATGCGCTCTGCCTTGTTGTAGGGGGCTCTCATAATGTTTCACTAGTTATATTTAATCTTCGGACTAAATCGCGACATGACTTATGTCTTTGATTGTACAAAGTAGTGTTATAAGCCCAAGTAGCTAACAGGCCAATCAGTGGCAAAGAGGATAAAGTAAAGATGGACAATGAAATGCAGTCATGGACACATATAATCTAAACTTTCTGTATTTGTCTTCACCTGTGGCACTTCATATTATTATTTTATTTACATATTTATTTTTTTTTTTTACAGTCTTGCCTCCACTCTCACAAAAAGAAGTGATCTTCAATCAAGGATAACAACAAAAGTGAGGGGTCAAGATGGCAATTTTTCAGGTTTGTCTTTTGACTATTCTTATACCTTTCCCGTTGCCCGTCTGCATTGCAGTTACCATTCTTTAGGTACCTTAGCAGTAGAGTACCTGCTTTAGCAGCCTACTGTCGTCCTTGCAGGTTACATTGCCAGTCCAATGTATTTATTCGTGGATAATGTCAGCCTCAGTGCTTCTGCAGTTGGTGTAAGTGAGAATACGGCAATTGACCTCTTCTCTTCCCAGTAGACTCGGAGGATGAAACCTAGTCTATGCTGGTGAAAGTCTCAGATGCAAAGAGGTGTCTCCTGTTTGTGACTTATGTCTTGTTGACATACAGCAGAATAGGGATTGATATACAGCGACCCCTCGTTTAACGAACGCCTCGGTTAACGAAATTTCGGTTAACGAACTGCCTTCCATAAGGATCTTCAATTCGGTTAACGAACAAAAATTCGGTTAACGAATTTCTTACGAACCGACCTCAACATGTTTTCGCTTGCACTGACCGGGCAACCAGCTTTAGTATCAGTCCGCCAATACATTAATCGGTTCTAGGGCTTAAATTCCTTACTATTTTAGTAAATATCAAGAAGTTTATACTATTCAATAATTTTAAAAGTTTAATATTCATTTTTTTAGTCATTTTAACGATTATTGAACATAATTGAAGGTAAAGTGACTAGTTTAATGCGCGGCATCCAGCCTCTTAACACAGCAAACAGGCGTTAGTCTCTCTCTGTTTTCACTGGAGGTAACATCTTGCTTGAGACTCTCTTCAACTAAACACTTTTTTTCTGTGTTTCCAAGCAAATTATTGGTCATTTTGAAATATATTTTACATATTGACAATATATAATGCAGTGCAGTGTTGATTTAAAGAAAATAATCTTGAATTACACCAAGAGAGCTAAAATTTTATGGGTGAAATGGCGCCATGGGGTGACTTCTCTTCCACCCCAATTCTAAATCCCATCATCATCATCATCATCATCATCATCATCATAATCATCATCATCATCATCATCATCATCATCATCATCATCATCATCATCATCATCATCATCCAGGAGCCTTCTACAAACACACCTCAAAGAAAGTGAACTTTTCTACCATTTTTGTTGAATTTAGGAAATTTTCGGTGAGCTGGAACCAATTACCCAAAAACCCATTGAAACAATGGTTTCGGTTAACGAACTTTTCGGTTAACGAACGACCTTCTGGAACGGATTGAGTTCGTTAACCGAGGGGTCACTGTATACTGTACTTACATCTTTGTAGATAATTTCAGCTCCTTACAACAGAAGACACAGGCATGAGACGTACATCTGATTCAATGTTGGATCTCTTCATTGATGTCTGCGGTGGTGGACAGGTGGGAGCTAAGGTACTGGAAATGGTTTACACTGGAGAGGGTAGTACCTTTACCCTGAATATATGGTGGAGGCATGGGTAAGCCAGTGGCAGTCTGAAACAGAATCTGTGTCTTGCATACATTCACCTCAAGAATGAAGTGTGCATATGCATCTGCATAGGTGTTCAGGATCCTATGTTGGGTCCCTTCATCTGTTATTGGATGTCCACCCTGCAGGCTAGATTGCCACTGGCATGGTTAAGGAAGGGAGCCAAGAAAATCAAAAAGAGGGTTGGTGCCACGATACATCCTTGTTATAATCTTTTTTGTATGGGGAAGAACTCAGATTGGGTGACAATTATGTAGGAAATGGCCACTCATGCTATTGTGGAGCAGCCTCACACACAAACACAGTAGTAGTGCTATTCAATGCTATGAAAGTCACAAAACTAACCTGGCAGTGAAGGCAAGGGAGAAGTCGAACGAAACATCATGGAAGGCCTCGACCACCTCCTGCTGGCGGGTTGCATTCCAGAGGTCGGTGGAGGCCAGGTGGTGCTTCTCGCCCAGGTAGCGGCAGATGGTGGTGGTTTGGTGCAGCTGTACCCCATCAACCATCAATACCGGCGTCTGCCCCCACTCAAATTCTAATGAGGGGAGACACATCATGTTGATATACATATGAGAGAAAAGTAGAGTTGATGTTAGCACTATAGTGCATTACTGTATTTCATCAACTACAATAAGGTGTTATAACACCTTCACTACAGGGAAGTCGCTTTTAACGTTTTATCAGGCTAACGCCAAATGATTTTATTTAGCTCAGAGGGCAACCCGTACACAAGGGCTTCGTAAACTATCCATTAGACACATGCCAAGATTAGTAATTACATTCGTCCATTAACAATTAGTAATTATAAGATAAAATATGAAAATGGTAAAAAAATTTTACTACTTTTTATCATGGTAAAACATATATGTATCCATATCTGGCATTAATATATATATTTTTTTAATCTGATATGAGCAGCAAAAAATATGAAGAAAAATGAAAATTATGTACATGTATTATGGATTCCTTGTTTTATATTACAAAAATTAGCCCAAACTATATGAAACAGGCAAACTTTTCTGAAAAAAAAAAATTATACGGCATTAGAAACAAAATCAATAATTATATAGCTAAAACATATTTTTGTACACTAAACGTTTTGTAAAATGTTCTAAAAATATTTTGTAATATCCTTCGATATCAGGTAAAGCAAACTGAACAGTACAATCAATAAGTTTATTTTGACACATTTAAAAGAATATTGGAAGGTAACACATGGAAGAAAAATAAAATGACCAGATTTCAATGTAGTGTATGCTATAATGGCCCTGCACTGCCAACTCGTAAACAATGTCAGAAAACATGAAAGGCTGAAAATTAAACTGGAAGGGTACAGAATTTGAGGAATTGTCCTAGCGTGGATAGAAGACTCTACATGACCGCAAGCAGTGTGTGGTGGTTAATGGCACGAAATCATCATCTGTACCTGTCACAAGCAGGGTACCGCTTGGGCCCGCTTTTGTTTGTTTGTTTCATAAATTACCTGCCTGACGCAGTACACTCCTTCGTACAAATGTTTGTGGATGACGCCAAGTTATTTCGGGAGGAGGCGAGCACCGTGTAAACAATGACATTTCTAACCACACCCTGCAAAATACAGTGTACTTAGCAAATGCTGCAGCTTCTGAGAATGGGGGGGCGGGGTACTACTAAGAGCAGAGACGTTACCGAGAACAAATTCTGGCTTGACTGTCATGTACACTAATACTAACACGTTTCTCGATAAGAGAGAGGAGTTTGAAACACTACTAAGAGTACACCAACCAGATATTGTAGGAGTTGTAGAACTGTCGTATAAGAACAGGAGAATCGACCCAGAGGAATGTGAGTTCAGTATTGCTGGATATGACTCATTTACGAACCTTTCTCTAGAAACTTGCAAGAGGGGTGTGGTTATCTATGCTAGGCATGACCTTAGAGCCAGCCAGGTGAGGGTACAGGGAGAGGATGTTTTTGAAGAGTCCAAGTGGTGTAAAATTAAATTAAAGGGAGTGGACTTACTTATCGTCGGGTGTATCTACAGATCCTCAAACTGTGGCCCACTAAATCAAAGGAACTTAAGAACCTTATTAAACAATGCAGCAATGCTCAACCCGAGCCACCTCCTTATCATGGGGGACTTTAAATATGGCGACATCGACTGGAGAAACGAGTCCACCCCAATTGACTTGAATAACCCTGCTACTCTTTTTGTAGAAACTCTGAGAGATAATTTTCTGTTCCAACATGTTAGAGACCCGACACATTACAGAGGGGAGCAAACACCCAAGCCACTTGACCTCATCATAACAAACGAGGAGGGTATGGTGGCCAAACTGGAACACCTTGCCCCAGTTGGCACCAGTCACCATATAGTGTTATCATTCAGATTTAACTGTTACCTAGTTCAGGATAAGGCCAGGCCAAAATGCAAATATTACAAGGGAAATTACAATGGGATGAGAGAAAAGATGAGTGGTATCAACTGGCCTGACTCATTAAGGTACAAGAACGCAGACACTACGCTGAATATCATAACTAGTAAAGTGACCCATTTGATCGATAAATATATACCCAAGACCAAACCCAGTGCTTCTAGGAATACGAGGGGATCCCTACATATGAACCATGTGGCGGTCGACAGAATTAAGAAGAAAACCCAGAAATTCAAGACGTTGGTTGGGTCAAACGATGAGCAAGACAGGAGGATGTATGCAAGAGCCAGAAACCAAGCAAAGATAGAGTGTAGAAGGGCCGAAAAGGAGTTCCAGAGGCTGGTTGCAAGCGAGGTCAAGTCAAACCCAAAGGTGTTTTACCACTATGCAAAGTCGAAATTGAAAACGCGAGTAGGAGTATCAGACCTAAGGCTTGAGGATGGTAGTTACGCAGATTCTGACCAGGATAAAGCTGAGGCATTGAACAGCTTCTTTTCCTCAGTGTTCACAAGAGAGGATGCAACTAACTTTCCTGTGTATGAGGACAGACGGTTCGACACAGCACTGACCCACATTGTGTTCACAGAAGAGGGTATTAAAAATAAACTGTCAAAGCTAAAGGTCCATAAGAGTCCCAGTCCTGACATGGTGCATCCTAGAGTGCTAAAAGAGTTGAGCAACGAGCTTACCGAGCCCCTGAAGATCCTGTTTTGTAAATGCCTGGATGAACGAAAGGTCCCCAGTGAATGAAAAGTGGCTTATGTGAGTCCTATCTTCAAGAAGGGTGATCGTCACTCCACAAACAACTATAGACCGGTGAGCCTGACCAGCATAATATGTAAAGTACTTGAGAGTATTATCAGAGATGCCGCTAAGGAACATCTAATACGAAACAACCTTGTAAAGGATTGCCAACACGGTTTTATGCTGGGGCGCTCCTGCTTAACACAATTGCTCAAGGTATTGGATATTTGGACCCATATTCTGGAACGGGGTGGTAATATCGACAATATTTACCTAGATTTTGCCAAGGCTTTCAATAGTGTACCCCACGAAAGGCTGAAAATCAAACTGGAAGGGTACGGAATTCGGGGAAATGTCCTTGCGTGGATAGAAGACTTTCTACTTGACCGCAAGCAGTGTGTGGTGAGTAATGGCACGAAATCATCATCCATACCTGTCACAAGCGGGGTACCACAGGGCAGTGTATTGGGCCCGCTGTTGTTTGTTTGTTTCATAAATGACATGCCTGACGTTGTACACTCCTCCATACAAATGTTTGCCGATGACTCCAAGTTATTTCGAGAAATCAAGAACTAAGCAGACTGTGAAGAGCTGCAGAAGGACCTCTGTGGGCTCCAAGAATGGTCGAAGAAATGGCTGCTGAGATTCAATGTCACGAAGTGTAAGAGGATGCACCTGGGGCGTACCAACGGGATGAAGAAACTGCACTATTTGAGACTGTAATGTGTGTATGTTGACAATGAGCTGAAAATCTCGGGCCATTGCGAGAAGGTAAATCAGGCAAATAAATTATTGGGTCTTATAAGAAGGTCGTTCAGATATCTAGACGGTCCGTCCCTCGTAACGATCTTCAAGAGTGAAGTGCTTCCCCATCTGGAGTACTGTCACCCCGTCTGGTCCCCGAGATATGATAGGTATACTGCCAGATTGGGGGTCACTAATACTAAGGGTAAATACTTAACTCTAATCTTAATTTCTAAGGGTCGCTGCCACCAGACCCCCTCTGGACAGCATGTAGCTCATTAGGTAGCGTGCAGAGTGGACTAGGCATTGGGTTAGGTTTTCCATTGACCAGATCGATAAGGGGAAAGAAGGGTGAAACCATAACATGTCTTAATTAATTTATTCCTTATAAAGCATACTGGTAAAAAACATACACATGAATTGGTCTTCCTCGGAAGAACAACGAAAATGTTGGTTACCCAGATGGGCCCCAGACTCTTACATTAATGGCGTGTCATCCACATACTTATTGCGTAACAATCTGTGACCACCTTACCTCGGTCATTCCTTCTTACACTATCCCTTAACACATCAGACTGCTCCACCTGTATGGAATATAGCACCGTCGGTTATCATACATAGTAGCACCATCTCAACACACATGTTACACTCCACCCCTGCAGGTATGGGACTCCTTGTAACTTTTAGGTATACACAACAGGCACCTCGTTCGCACACCGCCCTCGGTGGGTAAAGACGAGGGCTTCACCTAGAGACATACCAGCACTATTTCTACGCCTGGTATTATAAGTCGCTCCAAGTGACGACTGCAGAGTTTCTCACGGTCTCCTTATTTGTTACTACTCATTTGGAGTGGTGTGCTGGAAATCCACAGGTTCACAGTGGATTGGCATAGCTGGGAGTAGCCACCACCTGTTGGGACGCTCATAGAGATAATGGCTGCCGGGCAGCAAGGCACTCCGACCGCATGGAACCTGAGGTGACGGTAGAACGGAGGGTACTGAGAAATAATGCCTGACGGGCGGTTATCACACCCCCTAACACGTTACTATTACACTTATATATCAGGCAAAGCTTTAAACTGTAATAACTTCTATATAAACCTTAATTATAGGGCGGGATATAGCCCGATAGGACACTGACCTGAGGTGACGGTAGAACGGAGGGTACTGAAGGCAGTGCCCCGCCGCTCCTCACCGCGTAGGCCTACAGTTTCCAATCTTTAATTTTTACTTTTATTTCTTACGGTTCTCACCTGAACACTTTTCGGTATATTGTCACTCATGTCGTATAAACACATATTTTAATACTAAATTACACACTAAGGTAAGGTCTTGGTTTGCTAGTTCGTGGGTAAATTCATTGGGTTATAATATCAACGAGGCACACCCGAGGCGGGTACATGACGCGCCTTAAAACAAAGGCTGAATGTTCATGGTGAGGGTGTATCAACTTCACTTAAAACTGTAATGAGGGATCCTCCTCTCAACATTGCACTATTTGAACACAGACATAAGATTCTCTGATCACTGTACCTGTCGTGGGTATATGTCACATGAGGATATGAGGTGTATTAAGTTCATACCGACGCATACAAGATATTTCCTTTCAAGTATAGTTTCTGGGTCACTTCCAACACCTCACATAGTTCTGATACATTTATCCTTTTTCCAGATCATTGTTCTCATGTACGTATTTTCATATGATATCTGTGGAAGTTATGTTCGCTACACGCTCACAGACGTAAATAGTATGACCTTCAAACCCTGATCCACACTTAGTCCTACAGTACACTAGTCCGGCTCAACTGGACTTTAACATTTATCTTATGGATACCCTGAGTTTTCCTTAATGCTATGAATACATACAATTAATATGATATAACTGTACCTGGGTACAATACAACACATGGTCTAGTAACATTGAGTTGGTGAGTTGTCCTTTATCAATGTTTCCCGTTTTCTGAGGTTCTACAAGCGCGGTGGATTTGAATGTTATATAGCGTAATATGAATTAAATGGGGGTTTTAGGAATGACAATGATGTGCGCAGTACATAGGGACTGTCAGTTGGTTGAAAATGTTCAAAGGAGGGCCACCAGACTGGTGCCTGCCCTTCGGCACCTCAGGTACCCTGAGAGATTGGAGCACCTGAACTTGCCTAGCTTATACTACAGACGGGCAAGGGGCGACCTACTTGAGGTGTATAAGCATCTCGAGGGGCACTACTCAGTCTAGTGTCCTTACTTGGAGCTGGCAGACGCTCGCCTCACAAGGGGTCACAGCTCAAGATTGAAGAAGCCGCGTTCAGAAAACTGTGAGGGCAAACTTTTTCGGAGTGAGAGTTGTGAACTCTTGGAACAATCTACCAGAAAGTGTTGTGACAGCACCGAGTGTGAGCTCTTTCAAGACAAGACTTGACCAACACTGGAGCGGGTTCAGGCACATTCAGGAGCCGGTGCATGCCCAGTACTTGCCAACAGTGCGTAAGAGATGTGACCGATCGGCCAAGCGGCTAATGAGCCTATCTTTTGGTGAAGAGGATAAAAGAAAAGGAAAAGTAATCAATGACGTGACCGATCGCCCAAGTGGCTAACAAGCCGATCAGTGGTGAAAAGGATAAAAGTATATAGGACTAACCCGCGGGGAAAATTTATTGAAAACAATTATAAAAATGCCGGATTTTCATCCTTATATTATAGTGGACACTGTTGTAGTGTACTGCGCACATCATTGTCATCCCTAAAAACTCTTTAATTCATATTACGCTACATGACATTCAAATCCACTGCGCTTGTAGAATCTCAGAAAACAGGAAACGTTGATAAAGGATAACTCACCTACTGACTGTTGATGTTAGTTCTATACGAATTGTACCCTGGTACGGTCATATAATATTAAGTGTATGTACTCATAACATTGAGAAGAACTCAAGGTATCTATAGGATGATTGGGAAGGTCCAATTGATACGGGCTCGTAATTCTATTTACGTCTGTGAACGATTAGTGAACATAGCTACCGCAGGTATCAGATGATAATATAAACGAACAATACAATGATCAGAGAATCTTATGAATGTGTTCAATGATTGCAATGTGTGAGGGGAGGATCTCTAAATGAGATTGAAGGGAAGTGGACCTACCCATGCCATGAAAATACGATACTTGCCTTTGTTCGATGTGATGTCCATTCCGCTCCGGACTACAGTTTTGAGTTAATGATATCGCCCAATTAATTTCCCCGAGAACGGTCAAACCAGATCCTTACTTTAGTATGTAATTTAGGAGTAAGATATGAATTAATAAGGCACAAGGTCACAATAATTAGGAAAGTGTTCATGTGAGAACCATAAGAAATCAAAGTGAAAAGTAAAGATTGGAAACTGTAGGCCTGGTTCAGTGAGAGGCGTGGGACATTGCCCTCAGTGATGCCCGCCCTCTCACCAACACAGGTCAGTGCCCTTCATCGTGCTTTATTCAGCCCTAAAAAGACTTATCTAGCAGTTTTTACATCTGAAAACCTTGCCTGATGTTATAAAGTGAAGTCATAGTGTACTAGTGTGTGGTGATGAAAGCCCCTCAGGCATTATTCTCAGTGATGCCCGCCCTCTCACCAACACAGGTACCACGCGTTCAGAGCGTCAGCCAGGACCACCACCTTGAGGGATGCACCATGTGGGGTGCGTCTGCTCACAGTGGTAATGCACCTCCACTGTGAATCTGTAGATACCCTACATATCACCACCCAGGATAGGAGAAAATCACTGTATACTTGAGAAATTTCGCGGTTGCTACGTGGAGCGACTTCCTAATACCAGGCGTGGAACCAATACTGGTATGAGTACCTGGGAAGTATCCCATCTGCTCATCAAGAGAAATGTACTGAAAATAATAGTTGTTCTTCTGATGAAAGCCAACTCATTTTGTAATGTAACAGGTGATGTTATACTCTAACAGGTGGTGCAGTTTGATGTGTTTGGTGTTATAGTGAGAAGGAATGACCGAGGTAAGGAGGTCAGTGATTGTTATGAGGAATGAGTATGTTAATGATGTGCAATTAATGTAAGATGTAACAAAAATCATAGTTGTTCTTCTGAGGAAGGCCAACTCTTCTTGTATTTTGATGGGATGCACTATGTTTTACAAGGAATAAAATAGTTAAGACATGCTTGATGTTCCACCCTTCTTCCCACTTTCGATTTGGTCAATGAAAAACACCAACCCAATGCCTAGCTTACTCTGCCTGCTACCTAATGAGCTACATACTGTCCAGGGAGGGGTCTGGTAGCAGCGACCTTAAGATTAAGAGTAGAGTTAAGTTATCCCCTTAGAATTAGTGACCCCAGAATCTGGCAGTACAGTATAGTAGTTTGTGGAAATATGTTAAAAAAACTAATATTTTTAAAATAAACGCTACTTAACATTTGTGGCTATGAAAAACAGACCTAACCAACCAAATCAAACAAATCTACCTAAACCTAACTTCCCAAGTTCCCCGGCATATTAAACAGAAAGAACTTATGATATTGTGAAATTTGAGGCTTTTCTGGACGTGAGATGACATGGCCTCATCGGCGCTATGCAGCCCGGCGGGTTAGTCCTATATATTAACCGAGATATTTAAAATTTTGGGTGATTTACCGTACATACTCTTTCGAAAAGCTGTAGTCACCGCGTGTCGTCTGTTGTAACAGTACTCTCACGTCCACCTAAAGAGTAAAATTACACCATGATGCTTCAACGAAGTTGCTTTCATTGATACCTGGTAACAAAATAAGTACTTTTTGTTTAATATGACCGGGGGTCCGGGAGCCCTGCAGCTAAATAAGGTTACTTTGGTGACTAGGTCAGGTTCTGTTAGGTTCATTATTATTCATTTGCGACGTAAGTGTATAGAATGAATGTTACTCATAATGATGAGATATGTCTTTTGCATGTATTAAAAAAAATCGCTAAGAGTCCACTTGTAAAAACTTACTGCTATGATTTCGGACTGCATTAGATAAATTATATTAAAAAAAGTGGTTGCAACCTTTAGGTCCTTATTACCATCACCACCACCAGTACACCGCACCAAAAACTAGTCTCACCATTCTTCCTGGACAGCCATTGGGTGAGGACGTCAATCCTCTCCTCGGTGAAGGACACATCTAGGGCCTTCAGAACCCACCTGACGGGCTCCCCGCGGCCCCGTAGATTCATATAGGCCAAGTGGTAGGTCATCTTGCACCTGCGAGAGGAAAACAAGTAGTAATTATTAAAGTGAATGTCAGCTGATGATGTTTACCTGCTGGGGCTTAGATTATCACTTACCGTATGTTACTTAACGTGAGTAACGCTCTATCCCAACTTGAAAATGTTTTCATTCACCTCTCAGGATGTTTGAATTATTTCTAATTTATAATTATTTTGTTAATTTATTTTTTCGTAATATGTAGCACATAGTTAAACATCTATGTCAAGTCCTTAATCAGCTGTTTGTTAAGCATGCTTGTTCTCTCTTAGCTGGAGAATTTGCCCACTATGACAAGCTGACGGCATAAATGGCATTAAAGTAATATCATGGTTGTATTTATAATGTCATGTGTAAATATACTAGTCATCAACAATAAGAAGTTATGAGACAATGATGATGCAAATGCATCACGATGCTTCAGCTCCTTTAAGAGCGTATTATATACTACACTACACTATTGTAGTATTAATACTACAGTACTACTGTGGCCATCAACAATTATACAATTGAGTTTCAACTAATGTTGTGTTATTGTGCTTCAACAGCTAGGGTTTTTAAACGCCTGTGCTAAGCTATAAATTACACCTGTCATTATTTTATTCCACATAGGAGCTGTAGTTAAACATGTCATCTTGTTATGCCCCTTGATTGTCTAGTCCTTTCTCTGAGGGAAAAATCTCTGGGGAATCGACTACCTATTTATAAATACAGTATTACCCCGCCTAACGCGGTTTCACTTAACGCGTTTTATCATATACGCGGTGCCTCGCCAGAGCTGAACTTTCACTTAACACGGATTTTTTCCACATATACACGGTGAGTGTCCGGCTCGAGACGCTATTTTTAGATTTGCCCCACCCGCCACCCTGCCTGACTGCCTGTTATAGCTCATAAAATTCATACAAATTACCCGGCCAGAATATAATTTACATTGCTGGAATTCTTATAATTTGGTGATCATTTTGAATATAAACATCATATATTTTGCATTAGACATACAAATTTTAGATAAAAATTTTTCTCAGAGTAACTATGTTATCTTTTGTGCAAAATATATGACATTTATATTCAAAATATTCATGGTCTTACAAGGAATCCAGCAATGTCAATTATATTATCCTAACTTTAGTTTGAGGTATTATTTATTAAAATTTAGTGGTTATCCCACACATCTCCTTGGGACGGTTGGTGGGGGGTGGGGGGGAGGGAGGGACCGACCGACCATCTGTTACCCCGTGAAGAATTATTTTTTTTTTTTATTAACTGAAGATATTTGTTTTAGCTCATAAAATTCATACAAATTACCCGGTCTGAATATAATTTACATTGCTGGAATTCTTATAATTTGATGATCATTTTGAATATAAACATCATATATTTTGCATTAGACATACAAATTTTAGATAAAAATTTTTCTCAAATTAACTATGTTATCTTTTGTGCAAAATATATGACATTTATATTCAAAATATTCCTGGTCTTACAAGGAATCCAGCAATGTCAATTATATTATCCTAACTTTAATCTGAGGTATTATTTAATACTAAATGTTAAACACCCTGGAAGGGAGGATTGGTGGGGGGTGGGGGGGAGGGTTGGGACTGACCGTACGGTTGGAAGAGGGGGGGAGGCAAGGTGGGGTACTTTGATTGACAGATAGTGTCGTGAAGATTATTTTTTTTTTTATTAACTGAAGATATTTGTTTTAGCTCATAAAATTCATACAAATTACCCGGTCAGAATATAATTTACATTGCTGGAATTCTTATAATTTGGTGATCATTTTGAATATAAACATCATATATTTTGCATTAAACATACAAATTTTAGATAAAAATTTTTCTCTAGGTAACTATGTTATCTTTTGTGCAAAATATATGACATTTATATTCAAAATATTCCTGGTCTTACAAGGAATCCAGCAATGTCAATTGTATTATCCTAACTTTAGTTTGAGGTATTATTTATTAAAATTTAGTGGTTTTCCCCCAAAAATTTCTCTGAGAGGGAAGAGCCGGCAGTGTAGTGTGAGAGGGGGAGGGAGTTGAGTCCATTATTTGAATGGACATTAACTTGGCAACTGTATTTATCTATTTCTCTTAAGTATTAATTGTGTGCATGTACCATCATAAAATTAAGATGTTATTTTTACTACAACATAGGTATGTGCCTTCAAAAAGTGGAGTTTGGGGGTCGGGCCGGTTTCTATTGGAATTAATCCCATATGTTCTGTTGTTCACTTAACGCGGATTTCACTTAACGCGGGACCCTCTGGGTTCAATTGACCGCGTTAAGTGGGGTACATCTGTAGTTGAAAAAAAATTCTACCAAGTTGATGTAGGAAAATTGTACAATGATAATTGACTTCGTGGCTGAACTGTATCTATCAGTTTTCTGGGTAAGAGAGAGTCAGATACGTGGCTGTATTTATCCGTTTCTTGTGTAAGAGGGAGTCAGATAAAATAATTTTTACTTAAGACAAAATTTAGAGTAAGATTATATTGTAGTGGATTTCTCCCCTACAAACGCTGTTTGTCGCTGAGTAGCCGACCCCACCAATTCCCCAGTGTATGCCTCGTGGTCTAGGTCAACCAGCGCCGCCATACATCACGGAGCGGGGGTCAACTACTAAGCCACGCCTACCCCCTGCTATTTAAGACCTGACCTCGTGGTGACCTGTCTCTTTCTACCTACACCAACCAGCCAGCAACACCTTCTCCTTCTCCGCCTGCCTGGCGGTCCTCGCTCCCGCCGGCGAGCATGGCGACCCACCAGCTGTCCTCCTCTGAGCACCCTCACCAACCAGCTCTCTCTACATCACGCTTGTAACCCTGCTGCCCTCCCAGCACCAAGCTGCATTGTACATCCAATACAACATGTATATAGAAAGCACATCGTGAGTTTCCTTTCTCCATCCCATCCTGAGTGAGATCCAAATATCGCATACCCCACAAATGGTGACCCCCGGAGATTCTCACTCACACAGGATGGAGGAGAAACTGATCACGCTCCCAGTCTTCAAGCAACATGGAAGACTGGCTTATCCACACAGAAGCAGCTCTCATCAGCTCTACAGCTACTGTCTCTACACCGCAGGTTAGACACCCTAGAGCAGCTCTGCTACTCTAAGCAGACAGTCGCTTCTCTTCCGACCCCAGCACACCCGTCCTGCCTCAGACGCCGACCCCGGCCCAGCAGTAACCCCTGCCGCCCCTGATGCGGCCCCTGCTCCTGACGCGGACCAACACACCCGTCCTGCTTCAGACGCCAACCCCGGCCCAGCAGTACCCCCTGCCGCTTCTCCTGACGCGGCCCCTGTTCCTGAGTGCGGACCCACACACCCCTCTTTTCTCCCTCAGGTACTCCCTGCTAATGTCCTGCACCCTGCTGCTGTCGTGGACCCAGCTGCTGTCACGAGCCCTCATCCGCTTCTGCTGACGCAGCCCCTGCTCCTGACCCAGGCCCACACACCCCAGCAGGCGCATCTGACGACTCTGTACCTGCCGTGAGGGAAGAACAAAATTCATCGCCTCCACACACCTTTTTTCTTCCTCTTTACTCTCACAGATATTGTGTATCTAGACAGTTGTGTCCAGCGACCGGCTCATCCACGCCATCGCTGTTGTCTCACATGAGGCATGCACCGCCCGTTCTGCCTCACATGTGCTATGCAACCCTGCAGACAACAAGTCTCCTACACCGCCTGGAGGGAAGGGGGAGAATTGTAGTGGATTTCTCCCCTACAAACGCTGTTTGTCGCTGAGTAGCCGACCTCACCAATTCCCCAGTGTATGCCTCGTGGTCTAGGTCAACCAGCGCCGCCATACATCACGGAGCGGGGGTCAACTACTAAGCCACGCCTACCCCCTGCTATTTAAGACCTGACCTCGTGGTGACCTGTCTCTTTCTACCTACGCCAACCAGCCAGCAACACCTCCTCCTCCTCCGCCTGCCTGGCGGTCCTCGCTCCCACCGGCGAGCATGGCGACCCACCAGCTGTCCTCCTTTGAGCACCAACCAGCTCTCTCTACATCACGCTTGTAACCATGCTGCCCTCCCAGCACCAAGCTGCATTGTACATCCAATGCAACATGTATATAGAGAACACATCGTGAGTTTCCTTTATCCATCCCATCCTGAGTGAGATCCAAATATCCCATACCCCACAATATCACAGCGTGAGGTGTGCTCAAGTCAAAGATAATTCCTATAGATGCCCGAGTCTTGGTCTCAGAGAAAGCACAGTGCATTAAATTTTAATTTCCACAGCTGACAGAAGTTGCCTGGCAAGGTCCTTTCTTCCCCCGAGCTCGTCACTGGTACCCGCTGGTGGCAGCTGTCAATGCTACGTGTCACACAGGAAAAACTACACACTGCGCATAAACATAATATGAGTCAGGTCATGTACAGGTGTAGTGGTTCAGTGTGTAGCGCTAGGGGGCGTTGGCATGCTGGCAAGGATTGTGTGATTGACGATGATAAGAGATAAAGGATGCTGTTGAGTTTGACAAAGTCGAGAGCTGATCCTGGTATAGCCCTGGCTGCGAGACCAAAGTCGATGAGGTTATTGCAGATCATAAAGGAAAGATAAATTTAGAGACGAGAATCGAGGAAACTGGATCCTGGCAGCACGTAGTGAAGTAAGAATAAGTGTACAGTATGTAGAGAGAATACCCTGTACAATTCATCTCTCTATAGCAAAGTGTGGTAGGTCCCTTATAATGGCACGTACCAGGACTGTCACTTGGCGGTGGAGGGATGTTGGGGTGCGGGCTTCTCGGGGAGTCCCCACATTCACCTGCCCTGTGTGTTATCACATTCCCCGTAAACCGTGACGTCAAATTGTCTCAGATTCTTCAGAGGAGAATTGTGCGCCAAGTGACGTTAATATCTCAGTATAATTTCAACATTTTGTTAGCCAGCTTAGTATGGTGCCTCTCGATAGTCACATAAACCTTTGAAAGCCTAAGTATGGTTCTGTAGGGGTGGCAGTGTGGGGTTTCGTGATGTTGGTTCACACTCAGGATGGGTTGGAGAAAGGAATCTCACAATGCGTTTTCTGTATATATATATTGTATTGGATGTACAATGTAGCTTGGTGCTGGGAAGTGGCAGCATGGTTACAAGCGTGTAGAAGAGAGAGCTGGTTGGGGAGCGTGCTCAGAGGAGGTGGTGCTTGCTGATGGCTGTAGGTAGAAGAATGGCAAGTCCCGGCGAGGTGAGGTCTTATATAGCGGAGTTAGGCGTGGCTTGATAGTTGACCTCCGCTATGTTAGGCGGCGCTGGTTGCCGACCTTAGACCACGAGGCATAGGCTGGGGAATTCGAAGAGGGGTCGGCTAGTCAGCGACAAACGGCAGTTGTAGGGGATATATCCACTACAATAGGACCTTGAACCTGTCAGTTTTTTGTAGTGTTTCTGTCAAGTCAGAACTGTGTGCATGTTCTTGTTGAGGAGATCCAATAGTAGTAGTCGTGTGGAGGATATCAGAGACTACCAGATGTATGATGGTGTGTTCAAGACTGTAATTACATTACGCTCTCTCACTCACACGTAGTAACCCATACTCACTATCTCACACTCACGGCTTCTCTGATATTTTTCTCTGCATAGAAGAGAAGAGGCTGGCAAGAGGGATAGAGAAATAAAGAGAGTAAAGGAAAATATAGAGTAATGAAGAGACACTGAGTGAGAGGGAGAAAGAGATTGACTATACAGAGAGGCATAAGGAGAGAGGGAGAATAAATAAATATATAAAGAGGGAAAGAGAGATGGGAGATATTGCGAGTACCTTGATCCACATCAATGACAAGCTTTACTGTAGTCAGCAACCTCTTAATTATCGATCGCTCAGTGACGTGTTTCCTGATCACTGAATCCGGGATGAAATAGCAAGTGTCAGCGGTAATCAGCACTCCACCGAGCCTGCCTCTCTCTTTCTCTCTCTCTCTCTCTCTCTCTCTCTGCATCAACTACAAAATATGGAATCTGATTTTAAGCGCCTGAATAATACTCTCAACACATGATAATTTAAATACCACACCTGCACTTTATCCGAAATTTATCTTGTAGAGTGAAATCTCTCTTTAACGGACTATATAGATATGAAATTTCGTTATATCAAGGGTCCGTTAGAGGCGGAACACCCTACCTAACATTATATGGAGAGATAAGTCCGTTATATCGAGGGTCCATTAGACGTTAACTCCCATTTAACGGAATATATGGAGACATCCGTTATATGGAGGTTTCACTGCACTTGTATACTGTATTGCTGTAATAATAACCACTAATGTACAGTCGTGGACAATATTCCCTGAACACTTGGCAATATATTATTAAGTTAGAACCACAAAATGAGAGAAAAAAAATCTGAATTTGTTTTTAATTTCCAATCCTCCTCACCTAATGGTCAAGTACAGTACTGTATTTACTGTACTATCAAGTGTCCGGGAAATTGTGTCCGCAACTGTATCTGTACTTTAACCCGACTGTGAACTGTACCTGTATTTGTTTATCTTTGTACTCCATTATTCTTCCCTGTAATTCTTTTTATGTTATGTATGGCACAGCTGTACCTTTTGTATATACTGTATTTACTGTATTATTCTTTTTTATCCCTGTCTTTGTATATATGTTTGTTATTGTATTTACTGTATCCTGTATATCACTGTATCCCTCTATCGCTGTAACCCTGTATCACTGTAACCCCCTATCACTGTATTTCTCTATCACTATCCCCCAATCACTGTATCCCTGTATCCCCGTATCACTGTAACCCTCTCACCGTATCCTCGTATCACTGTAACCATCTCACTGTATCCCCTATCACTGTATCCCTGTAACCCCGTATCCCCATATCACTGTAACCCAGTATCACTGTAACCCTCTCACTGTATTCCCGTATCTTTCTCACTGTACAGTATCGCTGTATCTTTAACGAACTTTAAAAATTAACTGACACTTATTCTCAATCGAGGACGAACAGACGGGTAGCCTATCCGGTGACTCGACAGATAACGGTGAAGAGGGACGGGAGGTGATGTTGACACTGACAGTACCGTCGCGGAGAAGATACTGAGCAGTGAGCAACTGATGGAGTTCGTCAGACCGTCAGAGGGTTGCCAAGGTTTACTTCTTAATATTAGGGCAAATAGTCTCTACGTATTTCTTACAATTTCGTCATGAGTTCGAGTAATGGCCCGAGAAAGGTATTATCCGGTAGTGTGACTCTATACCAAATATCGCAGTTTTTCCCGGTATACTCCAGTTCCCTCCTGTACTAACACTGGATAGTAAAATTCATATTAAAGTAACAAAGAACAGACCAATTGTCCGAATGGTAAAATAAACTGAAAAGTGACGGGGAAAAAAAAAGCCAATTTAATGTTTAAATTTTAGAGTCACGGACCCCTTTGAGAATCTGGTGAAAGCTATGGACCCCCCTCCCTAGAAAAATGCACATAAGCACAACTTTGCATGTAATGATTATACTTTATTTTATTGAAAATTCATTGCCTCATACAGTGTATGACATACACAAAGTATAGTGAATATAAATGTTAAATTTTATCTGACCTTCACGGACCCCTGAAGCCCATCCATGGACCCCAGGTTAAGAACCCCTGGTCTAAAAGGACAATTTAATGTTTAAAAGGCCAATTTAACGCCAAAATTTCCATTTAACGCCAAAAAGGCCAATTATAAGACCATTGTTTATTACTATTTTGATTGTTCTTACACACACACACACTGTTAATAATAATAATTATTATTATTATTATTACACACTTAAACAATACATCAAAAATATTCCTACTCACCATTTATTATTGTGTCTGTTGTAGGTTTTTATAATTATATGGAATTTTATTTACAGTTAGTTGTTAAAGACCAACAGCATTATTATGTCAGCCCTGCACTTGTCAGTGAATATATATAAAGCCAAAGTGTATGTATCATGACTTTGTTTAGTGGGTAGATTATATTAGTAAGTGTGTTATAGACTGATAGGAATTATAGAGTAAATAAACGGTAAAATACTGGGTAAGGCATAAGAACGCAGACACTATGCTGAATATCATAGCTAGTAAAGTGAACCATTTGATCGATAAATATATACCCCAAACCAAACCCAATGCCTCTAGGAATATAAGGAGACCCCTACACATGAATCATGCGGTGGTCGACAAAGTTAAGAAGAAAACCCAGTAATTCAAGGCTTGGGTTAGGTCAAACGATGAGCAGGACAAGAAGATGTATGCAAGAGCCACGAACCAAGCAAAGTCAGAGTGTAGAAGGGCTGAAAAGGAGTTCCAGAGGCTGGTTGCAAGCGAGGTCAAGTCAAACCCAAAGGCGTTTTACCGCTATGCAAAGTTCAAATTAAAAATGTGAGTAGGAGTATCAGACCTGAGCCTTAAAGATGGTAGTTACGCAGATTCTGATCAGGACAAAGCTGAGGCATTGAACAGCTTCTTTTCCTCGGTGTTCACAAGAGAGGATGCGATTGACCTACCTGCGTTTGAGGACAGACTGTTCGACACAGCACTGACCCACATTGTGTTTACAGAAGAGGTTATAAGAAATAAACTGTCAAAGCTAAAGGTCCATAAGAGTCCCGGGCCTGACACGGTGCATCCTAGAGTGCGAAGAGAGTTGTGCAACGAGCTTGCCGAGCCCCTGAAGATCCTGTTTTGTAAATGCCTGGCTGAACAAAAGGTCCCCAATGATTGGAAAATGGTTTATGTGAGTCCTATCTTCAAGAAGGGCGAGCGTCACTCCACGAACAACTATAGACCGGTGAGCCTGACCAGCATAGTATGTAAAGTACTTGAGAGCATTATAAGAGATGCCACTATGGAACATCTACTACGAAACACGGTTTTATGCCGGGGTGCTCCTGCTTAACACAATTACTCAAGGTATTGAATATTTGGACCCATATTCTGCAACAGGGTGGTATTATCGACAATATATACCTAGATTTTATCAAGGCTTTCGACAGCGTACCCACGAAAGGCCGAAAATTAAACTGGAAGGGTACGGGATTCGGGGAAATGTCTTAGCGTGGATAGAAGACTTTCTGCATGACCGCAAGCACTGTGTGATGATTAATGGCACGAAATCACCATGTTTACCCGTCACAAGTGGAGTACCACAGGGCAGTGTATTGTTTGTTTGCTTCATAAAGGACATGCTTGAAGCTGTACAATCTTCCATAAAAATGTTTGCCGATGATGCCAAGTTATTTCGGGAAATTAAGAACCAAGCAGACTGTGAAGAGCTGCAGAAGGATTTCTGTGAGCTCCAAGAATAGTCGAAGATATGACTGCTAAGGAGGGGTATCATATGTCCCAACGGGACGAAAAAGCTGCATTAATTGAGACAATGTGAAAAGGACCTCGGCGTGTATGTTTACAATGAGCTGAAGTTCTCGGGCCATTGAGAACAGAAGGTAAATCAGGCAACAAAATTATTAGGTCTTATACGAAGGTCGTTCAGATATCAAGACGTTCAGTTCTTCGTAGCGATCTTCAAGAGTGAAATGCTTCCCCATCTGGAGTACTGTCACCCCGTCCACGAGATATGCTAGGGACTGTCAGTTGATTGAAAATGTCCAAAGGAGGGCCACTAGACTGGTGCCTGCACTAGGGCACCTCAGCTACCCTGAGAGATTGGAACGTCTGAACTTGCCTAGCTTATACAGTGTACTATAGACGGGTAAGGGGAGACCCAATTGAGGTGTATAAGCATATCGAAGGGCACTATTCGGTCTAGTTTCCTTATCTGGAGCTGGCGGACGCTCGCCCCACATGGGGTCACAGCTCAGGGTTGAAGAAGCCGCAAGCCCAGAAAACTGTGAGGGGTAACATTTTCGGAGTGAGAGTTGTGAACTCTTGCAACAATCTGCCAGAGAGTGTTGTGACGGGACAAACTGTGAGCTCTTTCAAGACCTGACTTGACCAACACTGGGGCAGGTTCAAATACATTCAGGAGCCAGTGCATGCCCAGTACTTGCCAACAGTGCGTAACAGAGACGTGACCGACCGCCCAAGCGGCTATCGAGCAGTGGTGAAGAGGATTAAAGTAAAAAGTGAAAAGGTAATTTGTATAGTTTGGAATATACTGGGTAATATATATAGTTTAGAATATACTGGGTAATATATATAGTTTGGAATATACTGGGTAATTTGTATAGTTTGGAAGATACTGGGTAATTTGCATAGTTTCTAAATAATATTACCCTTCAACCGTAGAGATTCATACCATAAACAGTTTTGGCGTGGTGGTGTGTTGGTTCAGTGGGACGGTACTCGATGTTGATGATGGAGGCCTCGGGTACGACTCCTTGACTGTCTCTTAGGAGACATTGAGCAGGTCGAGGCACAGAGGCAGAATTCTCAAAGGTTCGTAAGTGAAATTTGTTTTTTATCTGAAGTATCTGTGTTGGGTGGCGATGATGACCTAGCAAATGTTTCGTAGGGTAGATGTATATTAAGTATTTATTGTTGCACTTTGTTTATTTTAGATTAATGGGTAAAATTGAGGGTAGGGGGGGGGGCCAGGGGAAGACAGAGACTGGGGTGGATGAATCATTTTAACAGTTGTCGTCCCCGGAGAGATACAGCATCTAGAAGATTGATAAACACAGCCCAAAAACATTTAGAGTAAAGGGTCGTGGGTGCCAACCCTCAGACATGATGGTACTTTCATTATATTATGCTAGTGTCTGTTCGTCCGTCTGGTTTTCTGCAGAATTTACCTTATCTGAAACACAAAACGCGGGTGTCTCGTTTAGACAATAATTGTTATATAACTTCACAATCGGTTAAGATATTACAGTGATTGAAGAAGCCACACTTTCAGAAAACTTTCATGACAAACTTGTTTTGAGTGAGAGTTGTGAAGTGGCGCAGGTACAGATACAGTCTGGAACCAGTACATACCTACAGTATAGTATTTGCCAACAGTGAGTAACCGTGAGTCATGACCAAGCGCCCAAGTGGCTAACAGGCTGATCAGTGGCGAAGAGAATAAAGTAAAGTAAATAAAGCTGTGTGGATTCAGGTCAGCAAACACTTTTGGAGGTTCTGCATTACTGTTTAAAATACTGCGTTAACATTAAAAATATTCAATTAGTGGTGAGCTCACGCAAATGTGTTTGTGTAAACGGAGTACATCCTGTTTGTCAGTGTCGGGGAAATCCGTGATTACATTCCCGACACAGTTGTAATGGTCACATCAATTGTCAGTGTAACAAATCGAGGTTTAACTCTATCAAATTCTTACTAAATATTGTTCGAAAAATTACTGTTATAATGTTAATATTAGTGTTTCCCTTAATGTTAAGCTCTATTAAATTCCCGTTAAGTATAAGACGAAAACGTAAAGTGAATTGTGATCAAGTTGTGGTGGTCGACGATAGATGGCGCTTTATTGAAGAAAAACAATCCTCCCCACCGTCCTTAGTCTCACACACAAATAAACAATTACAACTAAACATCCACCAGTGAGTTAAACACGGATAGAGAGAGGGCAAGAAAGAAAGGGGGATAGAAGGAGATAGAGGAAAATTAAGAGAGCAAAGATAGAGAGAGTATTGGCCTTACACACACACACACACTAGTCTACTAGAGTGAATGAATGCACAGAATGAGATAAAGAAGATGAATAGAGAAGAAAAGCATAAGATAAGATAACAGGATGACCACAGGGGATGAAGACCGGAAATTAATACACACACAGACACTCACGATAAGCCACTGAAAAAGAACAACATAAACATCCGCAGGTCAGCAGGAGTCACTGAATGTCTACTTGAGTCAACTGATATTAAATTCTCCACTACAGTTAACTTAAGTCACGAAAGATCAAGAACAATATTGTTAAAAGAGGTAATGGACCACCTGAAGAATCATCACCCAGCTTATTTCACCTAACGATTAAACCACCCTAACCTAACTTAACCTAACCTAAACCTATTCTATCCTAACCTAAATCTAACCTAACATATCCTAACCTAACCTCATCCTCTCACAATAGTTTTAGGGTGGTTTAATCGTTAGGTGAAATAAGCTGGGGCGATGATTCTTCAGGTGATCCGAAAATAGTTCTCCATAATAAAAAAAAGAAGAAAAAGAGAAATAAAATAGAGTAACGCCGTGACTCGATCTCGGTCCTCTAAAATAGCAAACAGAAAGCTTATCCACTGGACCGCAGTTCGGCCATAAATTTAACGTTTTTTACGATATTTGAACGTATAATCATGTTCGAAGCTTCAAATGCTTCAATGAAGCTTCGTGACGTCACTCTCAACCTTCATATATAAAGTCTCGACGAACTCGTTTTCGGCCCGAAAGATGAAGCGATCTGGTTGAGCCCAGATTCTTTCTACTCCTACTGTATTTCAGTTTCACCACTTTTCCTTCAACCCCTAATTATCTTCTTTCACCTCTTAACTAAAGACTTCGTATCGTATCGTTTTCGGCCCATTCTTCACACTCACTAGCTGCAGCTGACAGGGAGGTAAGACGCCCCACACCCCGCACCTCTAGTCTCCATTATATACGTGTAATTTTTTCCCGACTGTCTACAGTCAATATGGCCAAGAGAAAAGGTTATTCTTTTGGTTAGTGTTTATATGTACTTAATTATGGCGTAATAAATGCTGATTTAAGTAACAAACTTACCAGCCGGTTGTTGCAGTTCACTTGGCTTCTAGAGACGTATCCCCAAGTTTCACTGGGCCGTAAGGCCTATGATACCTACTTTGCAGCTTAAACAAATACATTAATATGGGTTAGTATTATATTAAGTGTTTCTCTAGCGTCTAACCAGTAATTTATTAACGTTTTAAAACTTTTAGGCAAATATACCGCCAAATGAGCCATAACAACCGAGCCGAAACTATAAACCGGTGGCGAGTAACAAGCGTAAACCGCACATCAGTATTTGCGTTATAATTAACCAGTGAGTGAGTGCAATGACGAGATTGGGTGAAATTATTGTATTTATTTTTTTAATTTCACATTTTCCCTCTTGCTTCGAAGCCCAGCCCACTTTTGGCGGAGCCGGGTGGTCATAACTCAATAGTTACGCATTTCATCTAACGTTCATCACCAAAATATAACTGTTTTGTGGAATTACGATACAATATTTTTCACTGGCTAGTTCTTTGCTTCCTCTTTAACTAGGATTTCTGGGAGTTGAAACCGAATTTATTACGGGTTTTAGCCGGGCGAAGCGAGGCATGCTAGGCGAGGCAGGCAAGAAGCCAGACAGGAAGCGAAGCGAGGCGAGTTGAGGTAGGGAGCCGGGCGAGGCAAGGGAGCCGGCGGCGGGCGAGGTTGAGGGGTTTCAGAATATTTGTACAGTGTATATTAAATTTTTAAAAGTGGACAACCATGGATTTTACCATCGGAAAAACACATTGGTCAACAACCAAAAAGCACCAAAACTAAACTAACGTAACGTAGCCTAACAACGTAACATAGCCTAACCTGGAGGTTCGTTGGTTGTCTGCTTGTAAAAAAAAATACCGGGTTCCTAAAATAAATGTTAAGATGTATATAAAGACACCGTTAAAATGTATTGGTAAATAAGGCAGTAACCATCTAATTAACCTCTGGAAAATGTTAAAATGTTTGGCTCGCCTGAAGATTCATCCCCCAGCTTATTTCAACTGAAGATCAATTTAACCTAAGCCAATCTACGTATTACAATGTGTTGGCGAATCTTTCTTTTTCAGATCATGGAATGACTGCAGATTCAACTACAGTACAAAAGCCTCTGTTATAGGTGTGGTGCAGTATGTGGTCAGTGTGGTGCAGTATGAGGACACAAGTGAAGTGTGGTGCAGTATGTGGGGACAACAGACCACGAGTGAAGCTTCTCACAATACACAACGGTGTTCCTTCAGGTCAATTTTAACGTTTTGTGTGAAGGTGTGGGTGTTCGTAGCTTGCTATGGTATCATTTAATGTTTGGTGAGGGGTTGTGGGTGGATGTTGCTTCCTGTGGTGTCGTTTAATGTTTTGTGAGGGTGTAGCTGGGTGTGGCTTGTTGTGGGGTCGTATAACGTTTTGAGAGTGAAGGTGGGTTGGGCTTGTGGTGGGGTCATTTAACGTTTTGCGAGAGGGTGTGGGGGTGTTGACACTTAAGGGGGCATGAGGGAGGGAAGGTCTAGTCAGCTGTAATAAACCTTGTGTATAGTGCATGAAGCAGTGTAGTACAGTATAGTACAGTATAGTATAGTCGTACTGTATTGGTAAACTAATGTGGAGGTAATGATTTATGTAAACAGTTGGGGACAGTTCAAGTACATGTGATCTAGTTGCAAGTTTAATTTTCATTGTACGTAAATTACAACTTTAAACACGTTGCAGGTAACAGCTGATGTACGTGAAGGCCAATGGAGAAGTGACAGAACCTCGAGCAAGATTTAACTACCAGCATGTTACTTCAGCCTCATCAGTTAAGTTACTTGTACAGTATATCTTAGCTAGTATCTTTATCCAATAAACCACTCGACACTGCTCCTACACTGGGCAGTGGAGGGTGTGTGGGGGCGCCTTGCTGACTGTTTGAGGCCTAATAGGTCTGTGTGTAGACCTAGTGATCAGTGTGTGGGGCCTGGCGGACACTCTTGGAGGACTGTGTTGGAGGGCTATGGAGGACGATCTGTAGACAGACTGATATTAGAGTAAAATTTATATTAGTTGTAGTGACAGTATAAATATACAGAACTGTATGCCTATTGATTATTAGTGAAAATTAGTAGTAGTAGTAAACATAGTAAATTAAGCAAGTTGTTGTGGGTGGGTTTCAACTAACTTTACTAACCATAACCTAACCTAAGATAAACTATTCCAAGACATAAATTCAGTATTTTTTTGTCACTTACGTTAACTGATCATGAATTCATAAGTTAGTTTTGAAAGAAGTTAAATTTGACTTTTGTAAATAATTAATTTTTGAAAAATTATGTACATTTGACGACAGTTTAACTACATGTTGTCTAGTGGTAGATGGATATTGTATGTTTAACATTCATTCTACATAAATGCCAACTTTAAACATGTTGCAGGTGACAGCTGATGTATGTGAAGGCCAATGGAGAAGTGACAGAACCTTGAGCAACATTTAACACCCAGCATGTTACTTCAGCCTCATCAGTTAAGTTACTTATATATATCTTGGCTATTATGGTCATCCCATAAACTACTCAACACCGTGCTTCTACACTCGGCAGTGGAGGGTGTGTGGGGGGCCTGGCTGACTGTGTGATGGAGGGCTCTGGAGGACTGTGTGATGGAGGGTTCTGGAGGACTGTGTGTGAAGGAGGGCTCGTGAGTACTGAGTGGACAGATTGGTCTTCGAGTAAAATTAATATTAGTTGTAGTGACAGTATAAATATACAGGACTACATGCCTATTGGTTATTAGAGAAAATTAGTAGTGGTAGTAGTAGTAGTATAGTAGTAAATACAGCAAGTAAAGCAAGTTGTTGTGGGTGGGTTTCAACTAACTTTACTAACCTAACTTAACCAGCCTAAGTTAATTAAACGTAATAACGTAGACTGAACCAAATCCGTAATAGGGTCACCGCGACCCGTAGCTGGGGACGTCAAAGGCTCGGTCGGATTGGTACACCGTCAATGACTCTCAGCTCATCTTGGAGGGGTGGTGTTACCTCCGGTGTCCTGGC